AAATCCTAACGGCGTTTCGTAGATGATGCATCCTCTTGAGGAACACCTGTGCTCCCATGCACATGTGAGCAAGAGTCATTTTCACCCTTCCTTGACTACTACAAAATTGTAGGTTTTACGGATTACCTCAAACTGTGTGCTTTGGCATTAAACGCTTGGTCGATCGCGGCCCCATCCTGACCCGACGGTTGTACTAACATTGAAAGGATAAACTCATCGCCTAGTATGCGCGAACCGCGGTCCGCGCAGTCTGCCAAAGGTCTCAATCCTTTTAGCGCAAGCGTCCGTTGCTGCGCCTGCCTTCATTCTCCGACCTCGCTGCTAACATGACGAGCCAAACTAGTCAAGTAAGAAGCACCCACACTGGTAAAACTGAAGCGTAGTTGAATGCTTGATTCCGGCATTCAACTACGCTTGAAGACTTTGACGTCAAGCGTAGAGAAGGAATTCTTTCGTGTATTTAGATAGGCGGGAGAGAGGCGAAATGGAGAACTGCTTGAAGCCGAGCACACTAGTTCTGTACAACTTTGTTTGCGACATCACAGTTTTTCGTGCGCATGTTCTTTTCTTAATTCTTGTACGAAAAGCTGCACATATTGTCCCGTCTTTTGTACAAAGTCGTATACAAATTAGTACGAAAACTTCGTGTGCAAAATTTGTACAAAAATATTTAGTGCGTGGCGAACAAGCGTTTTTCTTACGGGTCTAGGACAGGGTGATTCCGTGCGTAGAGGGTCATTTTGGATGTACCAAATGGTTTTTTTTTAGTTCAACTTTAGGGGCTAAATTTGGTGTAGATGGCATACATAGTACCCCACAGTACCCCTCTGAGCGTGGCAGCGCTACAAGCTGACTTTTAATTTCACCCCCTATGAAATACGGCGGAATTTACAGAAATAATGACGGAATTTACAGATTACGGAATTTACAAAGCGAAATGTTTAGTCTCCTGACCCGCTGGGTTACAAGATAGGTAGAAACTGTTAACGGTGTCATTTTGAGCATCCAAAATAGCATTTTTCAGCGAAGGTTGTGGGAACTTTCGCCCTCACAAGGGAAGTGCCCCAGGTGTTACATCCAGATTTTGATCATATTTTGGGGATCTCTTCTACTATACAATAGACTAATTTTCCGCGTAAAAGATTTTGCTGAGATATATTACAACGGGTTTTAAACCTAGGTCCAAATTTTCAAAATCACTCAAAAAATATTTTTTGACCAAAAAGTTTCTAAATGGCCTGAAACGTCCAAAAATATGATTTTTTTCGATTTTGGAGAAAAAAATTTTTTGTCCTCACTAAAGTCCAAAAACTTGAAAAAAATTCAAAATCACATTTTAGACCAAAAAGTATCCAAATGGTCTAAAACGTCCAAAAATATGATTTTTTTTTCGATTTTGGAGCAAAAAAATTTTTGTCCTCAGGGTCATTCCATGTCAACTCAACGAGGAGTTAGACATGAGGGTCTCCGAATTTAGTGATAATTGGTGAAAACATTGCAAATAGTGACTAGAACACTCCCCTTAAACGGTTTTGAGAAATTTTGATTTTTCGATTTTTTGAGGGTTTTTCAAGTTTTTGAGGTTTTGCGAACAGTGCTTTACTAAAACGATCATAGATCCTTGAGTTTTTGAGCTACAATAAACTTTTTTTTTTCAAAATGCTCAGAATGAAATGAGGAATCTGAAAAAAAAAACTTTGGAACCAATTTGGACAAAATTTGTCAAAAGTGCCAAATTTTGAAAAATTGGACATTGAACGGTTCAAAGAGGGCCATCCTCAAAAAATCTGGAAAAAATATATTTTGTACCTCAGACTATGCCTAAAACGTGTGCAAAGTTTGGTCGTGGGGTTTTGTGTCGTTTGGGAGCTACTGCGCCTACATTACAGTCATACACTAAGAGATATCGAAGAAAGTCCCCATAAACGGTGCAGCGGCACGCCAACAACCCAGGAGCCAGGCGCGGATCTAGTGGAGGGGTAGTGATGTGATCAACTACTACCCCACCCCCACCCCCGGGTTCTAGATAAGCCGCCTGGAAGGTGGGCAGTGGGCACTACTTGTACTTTGCTATTGCTCCTTGACTTCGGCCTGGAGCAGGGTGCTCTATAGAAAATACTGGATCCGCACCTACCCAGAAGTGGCATTTTGAGATGAAAACCAAACCGAACCGTACGAAGGCCCTGGGTGAACACTTAATCTAGGTTTTTGTGAAACCCTTCTAAAAACAGCATAAATCCGACTTCAGAGTTCACCAAGGGTTTTTGTACAGACAAAATCGGATTCCTTGTTCAAAATTACGCCTCATCTAAGCACACTCTCGTTGGAGTGTACTAGTGAAAACACGCTTTACTGAGTGTGCTGAGCCCCCACTGTTGAGTTTGCAGAGTAGTTTGGAAATGGCGGGATTCTTAAGGTTTGCAATCACGTAAGGTATTTATTTTAGGTTGCGGTAAATGTGAAGACCTGTCACAGATCGAGAAATGTGATAGATGGGTAGGTCAAAGTTTTCAAGGCGTAATTTTGGACAAGGAAACCGAGTTTGTCGGTACAAAGACCCTCAGTGAACTCTGAAGTCGGAGGCTATTTTTAAAAGGTTTTCACAAAAAACCTAGATTTTTCCAAAGTTTTTTGTTTATTTCTCATTTTACCCAGGGCCTTTGTACGGTTCGGTTCAGAAAGTTTGGTTTTCATCACAAAATGCCACTTCTGGGTAGGTGCGGATCCAGGATTTTCTATGGAGTACCCTGCTCCAGGCCGAAGTCAAGGAGCAAGAGCAAAGTACAAGTAGTGCCCACTGCCCACCTTCCAGGCGGCTTATCTAGAACCCGGGGGTGGGGGTGGGGTAGTAGTTGATCACATCACTACCCCTCCACTAGATCCGCGCCTGGCTCCTGGGTTGTTGGCGTGCCGCTGCACCGTTTATGGGGACTTTCTTCGATATCTCTTAGTGTATGACTGTAATGTAGGCGCAGTAGCTCCCAAACGACACAAAACCCCACGACCAAACTTTGCACACGTTTTAGGCATAGTCTGAGGTACAAAATATATTTTTTCCAGATTTTTTGAGGATGGCCCTCTTTGAACCGTTCAATGTCCAATTTTTCAAAATTTGGCACTTTTGACAAATTTTGTCCAAATTGGTTCCAAAGTTTTTTTTTCAGATTCCTCATTTCATTCTGAGCATTTTGAAAAAAAAAAGTTTATTGTAGCTCAAAAACTCAAGGATCTATGATCGTTTTAGTAAAGCACTGTTCGCAAAACCTCAAAAACTTGAAAAACCCTCAAAAAATCGAAAAATCAAAATTTCTCAAAACCGTTTTAGGGGAGTGTTCTAGTCACTATTTGCAATGTTTTCACTAATTATCACCAAATTCAGAGACCCTCATGTCTAACTCCTCGTTGAGTTGACATGGAATGACCCCTCACTTAAGTCTAATAACAGGAAAAGTAGCGATATTCATCGGCAACTTTGGCCCGTCCCGTACATTATGAAACGTTCAAATTTCGCCTATGTTTGACCCTGACGGGAATTAAACCTGAGTCTGGGGTTAAAATAAATGTAGTTTTCGTCATCAGCACCCTCAAAAGCATCTGAAACAATGCGAACACTCGAATAAAAAGAATGTTTAAAATATACCCCACTGGGATTTGAACCCGGGTCCAAACTTCTCCGATTTGCTTGAAATTGGCACCATTGGTTTTGTCTTGTCACCCTGATTCCAAAAATACCCCTACATGCCCTCCTAGCTGTATCCGTTGCCGAAATCCTCCTCGACCCCATGTACACCATGATGCAACTGCAGCAGCGCCCCCGGGGCTCGGATCGGATTTGCTGCCACCGGGCGGTTCTTAGGGTCACCCAAGGAGGCTGCATACCAAATTTGGTCAAGATCGGACCACGGGAAGTCCTCGGACGGACGGACGGACAAACGGACGGACGGACGCACAGCAGGGATCATACTACTGTATATGCCCGTCCCTCCGTCATTTTTTTACAAAAAATAAACGGGACGGGCCAAAAAATGACGTAGTTGAACATTGCGTACCATACCTCAATTATTTTGTCAAAATCTTGTTATCTGGCTTTCAAGTTTTTTCACGAATATTGACTAACGTCAGAACAAAAAGATTCTCCAAACGCGAATAAAATCATATTTTTAACGTTGCGGATCTTGGAGACTATTTGGTCAAAAATGTATTTTTTTTTTAATTTTTAGACTTAAGTGAGGACAAAAAAAATTTTTGCCCCAAAATCGAAAAAAATCATTTTTTTGGACGTTTTAGACCATATGGAGACTTTTTGGTCAAAAATGTGATTTTGAATTTTTTTTGAAGTTTTTGGACTTTAGTGAGGACAAAAAATTTTTTTGCTCCAAAATCGGAAAAAATCATATTTTTGGACGTTTCAGGCCATTTAGAAACTTTTTGGTCAAAAAATATTTTTTGAGTGATTTTGAAAATTTGGACCTAGGTTTAAAACCCGTTGTAATATATCTCAGCAAAAACTTTTATGCGGAAAATTAGTCTATTGTATAGTAGAAGAGATCCCCAAAATATGATCAAAATCTGGATGTAACACCTGGGGCACTTCCCTTGTCAGATGGAGGAGCTGCGGCCCGAAACGGAATTTACATCTATTTTTACACCCTTACCGTTTTTAACAATTCTGACGTCCTGGAAGCGTCGTTTGACCGCCCCAGGTCCCGCGGGCACGGGCTTCTGAAAGCGTTTTTTATGTTCTTTCGATCCCAAGTGGTCGCGAGGTTCAATAACGAAAAGGAACCCCAGTAGACCGTCAGTTGTGAAAGCAGCATAGGTCACATGGTCACACGGTGGACATTTCCTCATAGGCTGTTTCGGGTTCAACAAGTGATGATACAAAAGTCACCTGCCGTAATTTTGTGAAGAATAAGTCAGGGAAGAGAGTGAAATAGCCAGTTTTCTTTTGATGTGGCTGAGTCATATACTACAGCATGGCAATGTTGTCTTATAGGTGTCGGTGACCATGACGGAACTTACAAAACGACACTTTAGCAGCTTACAAAACCTAGAAAATCAAAAGTTAGATTGACTTATCCACATGAGGACATGGTCATCGTTTAGTAAAACAAATTTGAATTGCCGAAGCTACCAAATCACCCTCAGTTCAGGCTCAAGGCCCCGGTGACCTGAAATGACCCCCTACGCACGGAATCACCCGACAGCCGACCACACTCTCACTGACCACGTCCCCCACTCACCACTGACAAGTGACCACTTCGCACTCTGACCCCACATACATACTGGCCACACTCTGACCCCTAAAAACTGACCACAATAAAAAAAATCGAAAAAGCAAATATTTATTCAAATTCAGGGTTCAGGGTTCAAGTTCAGGGTTGCGCTCCATCACAGGTTTCCGGCGATGTTGTGGCCGACGGCCTTCAGGAACTCCAGCATTTCTCCGTCCTCCTTGTATTGGTCGTAGCGCTCCATGACACGGCTGATGCGGGCGTCCATCAGCACGTACTGGTTGCGCTTCTTCTTTTCAGGCGACCGTCCGCTGCCCAGCCGCTCAATGTCCCACTCCACCTCCATGACCTCTGACTGCAGCTGGTCAAGGGCAAAGTAGAGGGTGGGGTGCGCCTTGCCCATGATGGTGTTCAGCCTGCGATGCCACGCCTCGACGCTGTTTGTTGTCCTCGGCAGGTCACCCAGGGCTCTCTCGTGACAGTTCCACCACTCCGGGGGGAACACCGGAGTCCGGCGGCCGTGTCTCCGCCTGCAACCACGGATGTACTTCTCGTCCACATACTTGAATACTGGGCGAAGTGCAGCCGGCGCCTCCCTGCGTAGCTCATCGAAAACATTCTTCACGTCGTCCAGGTGGCAGAAGGCGACGGCTATCAGAGAGTGGAACGAGGTGCGCATGTCCTCGTTGGCCTCTTGGCGGTACTCCACTGCAAGCCCTTCGTTTTGGAGTCTCCTCCAATACGACTGCCCCAGGTGGAAAAGGCAGCGAGCGATGTCCGCGTCAGGAAAAACGGCCATCACCGCTCTGATGACGGCCTCTTCATAATCTGTCGAGACATACTCAGGAGCCAGCCTCTTGTGGAGACGGACACTTACTTCATGTTTGAGAAGTTCCAGAATCTCTATATACAACTCCTTCGTCTTCTTGGTCATGAGAACCATGACCAAGGGGAACCACTGCCCGTGAACCTGGCCGTGTATGGTGTAAAGTTGGTAGAACACACTGGGCGCAGACTTGAATGTTCCGTCCATTATCCAGTACTTAGCCTTAGCCAAGTACCGCAAATGGCGGTTCGTAGCAAGCACGATCATCTTGTCCTCAGCGTCACGATCGAAGAAAAGCAGCCACCTCTGGCCATCCACCCTCTGGTACTTCTCGGCGATCTCGACCAGGTCATCGATGTCCTTGGGGTCCTCTGGCAGTGATGACCGCTTGACCCTGCGTACGGCGCGCGCCATGGAGGACTTGTTGGGGGTCGTCCACATATTACGTAATCACGATTTTTGGATTTTTGACCTCCCCCTCCCCATTGTAATCAAACGTAATCAACGGTCCGACCCCCTCCCCCCCAACGGAAGATTACGTAATCCACAATTTTTTTTTAAATGAGAGGACCAGATCTAGCGGTTATATATGTTCCCAAACACGGTACGAGTGACAAAAAAAGTAATAATTTAAGCCTATGGGCGAGACTTAATCGATTTCCAGGGAGTTCCTGGGCAATCCAGAAACCGTTTTTACCATGCAGTAGTGAGGACGACCAGTCCTGAAATTATTTCCCATGATCGATGATGCTGCCGAGCGGTGACCTAGTAAAACCTTCTTTGCCGGCACCCGAACTTGTGTGTATCTTGTCTGCAAACGATCACTGAAAAGAATATCAGGGGTTTTCCATTTTATTCGCTTTTACAGTTTTGACGATTGTTCACATTAATGAGAAGATTTTCATTCTTTTTATGAAACTCCTAAAACAAGACAAAAGAGCTTCTTAGCGAAATGATAAATGCGCATAATCGTCAATGTGTCTATTGGAGGATGGGAAAGTGCGATTGGTGTCGGTGTACTGCAGTATTTCCGTATCAACGAAATTGCATAAAGTGACTAAAAAATGATTACGTAATCAAAACGGTCACCCCCCTCTCCCCTCTGTAATCAAGCGTAAGCCTCAGCTATACCTCCCCCTCCCCCTTAGGTGATTACGTAATATGTGGACGACCCCTTGGGCAGCTTCACGGCGGCCTCCCGGGAAGTAGTGGCGACGTGACGCTGCACGATGGACGCCGTTGTTTCGCGTGAACCTGAGTAAAGTATCACTGTAACGCCCAACACTTCGGCCAGTCTACTTTTTTCGTAAGGTTTAATTACGAACCTTGTGCATCCTCGCGCATTCGCTCCACCGTCTCCTTGGCCTGCACGCGGCCCCAGTCCGCCTGGTGATTAGGGTGCTCCCGCTCCCTGAGCACCGACCTCCTGTCGCTGCTCAGGAGCACGGTGGCATTGCAGGACTCCGTTCGGCGCTTGTCACAACGCCACTCACTTTCTCCGGACTTCAAATCACGGTGGTGTACAAACATGTACCCTTTATAGACTAGCTTATCTTTCCCTCGTTGCGTTTTTGTGAACCGCACCTCTCCTGGCATTTTTTTTGTTTTTTTGCACCCCGCACTCCGGCTCGCGCCCTCGCGCCGCGCCGGGTATCGAAGTTGATTGTTGCCCCAGTCTGCCCCACCCTGCCCTACCCCACCCCGGGTTGAAACAGAGGTACTGTACAATTAGGTGCCATCGAAAGTTTTAAATAAATTAATAAAAAAATTAAATTGTTAAAAAAGTGGTGGCAATCTAATATGGGTTCACTGTGCAGTCGTGGTCAATATGTTTCAGGGGTCATTTTGTACCTGGGTCAGTTTAATTGTGGTCACTTGTCCGGATACCTTTCTTACAACATAGAAACGGTTTGCCGCAGCCAACAGGCGTAAGATAAGAGGACTTGAAGGAAGGTATGAACATGAACACGGGGCAATTACAACGGACAAGACCGGACCAACATTTAGTATTTTTCAAATAAATAACGGAAATTCTGCGCTTTCAGATACGCTTGCCTCACGCACTAAATTTGGTGTGATGTTTACACTGGTGTAAATCAACTCAGAAATTTTCTGATACTTTTGCATATCAGAACATTTCTCATGTCTGAGTTCTGATGTTTTTTCGGACACCTATTTCTGATGTTTGTGTGTCTGATGCCTCAGTTTTCTGATGACTTTAGTTCTGATAACATCGGCTGGACTCATAAAGAAATATATCAGAACAATCATTTTCTTCTGTAAACATATATTTTGATCTACATGAGACTCGGAAACGGGGAAAACGTCTTCGGGGGGTCGAAATCAAGTCCGATCCAAATCTGCAGTCCAAATTGAGCTAGCTCGCCATCAACTCTCAATAAGACAGTAAATGTGATCCTATCTCATTGAGATAATAACAGGAAAAGTAGCGATATACATCGGCAACTTTGGCCCGTCCCGTACATTAAGAAACGTACGAATTTCGCCTATGTTTGACCCTGACGGGAATTAAACCTGAGTCTGGGGTTAAAATAAATGTCGTTTTCGTCATCAGCACCCTCGAAAACATCAAAAACAATGCAAAAACTCGAATAAAAAGAATGTTCAAAAAATACTCCGCTGGGATTTGAACCCGGGTCCGAAGTTCTCCGATTCGCTCGAAACTGGCACCATTGGTTTTCTCTCGTCGCCCCGATTCCAAAAATACCCCTACATGCCCTCCTAGCTGCATCCGTTGCCGAGATCCTCCTCGACCCCAAGTAGACCATGATGCACCTGCAGCAGCGCCCCCGGGGCTCGGATCGGATTTGCTGCCACCGGGCGGTTCTTAGGGTCACCCAAGGAGGCTGCATACCGAATTTGGTCAAGATCGGACCACGGGAAGTCCTCGGACGGACGGACGGACGGACGGACGGACGGACGAACGAACGGACGCACAGCAGGGATCATACTATATGCCCGTCCCTCCGTCATTTTTTTACAAAAAATAAACGGGACGGGCCAAAAATTGGCCTAGCCAAATCTTGCAAACAGGACTCTCACCAAATTTGAAACTGAAATTACGTAAACTTCGATTATATTTCTGATAACTGGCAGTTATCAGAAATAAGATCGACTTATCAGAAAGGTCTCTTTTTTCTGATGTCTCTGTTCTGATAACCTATGAAAGTATCAGAAAAAACCATTTCTGATGCCCTCTTTCTGATAAATAATTGATGTTATCAGAAAATACTCAAAATCTGATGTTTTTTGTCAAGTTATCAGAAAATCCACCGTTTATCAGAAAATTTCTGAGTTGATTTACACCAGTGTAACCCTTGGCATTTCGTGTTGCAAAATTGACTGAACCTTGTTCGTAAAATTACAACTTAATGAGGAGCAGCGGCATGCAGAACTCTCGTTCACACTTCATTTCAGCTGCACTTCGAGATGATATCTGGGCGTGTTCCCCCCAAGAGAATGTTAACTAAAACGCAGGCGAAGGCCACTTGTGACGGATACGATAGTGATAGTAAGCGGAATATATTTCTACATGCACTTTTGGTTTCTTTGATCTTTTATCTTAAGACTTCAGTGAATTATATCACAAATTATATTGATTTGTAGCTGTATCATATGATCAAACTGAGTGAAATTCGCCTGCGTTATAGGTAAGATCCTCATGGGGAGAACGCCCAGATAAGATTTTTTGAATAGGACTCTGCGGATTCTTTGCCGACAGGATCACCGCAAACGCAAATCTGCTTGGATGCACGTTATTCCCGTGGCTTCCGACAGGACCATACATAATTTTGAAGTGGGAGTGCCTGCCGTGAAAGGTGCTCTAGCAGCACCGGACGGGAACGGCAGCCAGCCTTGGAAGGGTGCATTTTCTCCGAGGGACATGTTTGGCGGACATGGCATGTTCCTTCAAATTTATCCTATCGGTTGCACCATGGCGATTTTGGGCCTGTTGCCAGTCACATTCAACCCAAGTAAGCAGCAGTGGTGGAGCGGTTGAACTGATGCTCTATGCCATGCTAATAGTGAAGCAAAGGCATCAAAACTATGCTCTTACAGGACGTAAACGATTTTCGCCCCTGGAACGTGCGTGAATCGTTTAGTGCCCATGGGAAGAGTATGAATTGGTATCAAACTTTCAGGCATACTTTTAATGCCCTTCCAACGGCAAACGATTCAAGCCCCTGAAAGGCGTGAAAGACTATTTCCTGAAGGCGGTAGGTTTCACTATGCGTTTGTTTCTCCACTGTTTTGGTCCTTCTTGAGACGCCTGTTCCTCAAGTCACGGCGGAGCGCAGTGCCTTGGTCAGTACTTTAGCTTTTCAAAAGCTCGCTCAAAGGGTCGAAATGCGAGTGCACACAGTAAATTGAAATGGCAGAATCTGTAGTGGTCTGAGAGCCCCAAATCGCAGAAACCGACAGGTAAACAGATCTGGGGCGGTTTTGCACCAAAACCGCCAACGGCAAACGAGACATTCCATGCCGGTTCGGCCAGGGCCTGAAGGTGACCATTGACGATTTCCGCGCCACTTTGGCATTTCTTTGTACTCATCGAGATAGGGCGATTGCCAAATTTTTAGGTCCCTAAGTCCATTTTTGCGCCCAGGGTGGCAATATTTAGAATTCTCTGAACTTTCTTTAGTGGTTTTGTTGAAATAGCGCTTCGAAGTCCCTTTCTTGGCTCTCCACGGCACAATTTCAACGCTAGCTCAATGATTTTGTGCTTAAAAGATGCGTATTAAATAGAGGAAGAGACTCCAGTGGTCAAATTCTACTTTTGAAGTCATCTTCGTGGTGATCCCAGCGATTTTGTAAATTAAAAACATGTAAAAATGAGGTAATTTTTGCTAACTTTGGCGAGGGATCTTTCGATGACCGACATCGATATTTGAACTTTTTCTAACGGATTCTTGAAGGTCTCGAGGAGATCTTTCGAGTTCCGGTGCCAGAAAGTATGGGACCGGCCCTAGTTTAGCCGCTACACCGCTCCAAAGTTTCGAAAAATCCCAAATTTGCACTAAATGGTGCAAGGAGTGGACTTTCGCTTGCAGGCCCACGGCAATTGCCATACGAGTCCCAGGCCATCTCAGCCCGACTAAAACAGACCCCTGCAATAACTTCAACTTGATCCCAAGCCCCAGGGTCACTCACCGGCTCGGGGGTAAAGGGGAGGGGAGGAAAGAATACAGTGAATTTTCACAAAATTATGCCCTAAGCTTATATGTCGTCCTAGCCCCGCATCAGTGGTGATTATGGACCTCAGGCCCAGTATGTTTGACAAAACTTGATTCCGCCTCCCCCAACTCCCCCCTCGGGAGAAGCGGGTGCTCTACAGGCGTTCGCTCACATTTGTCCGCGGGGAGCGCCTGCGATTAAGTAGAGCAGGCAGCCCCTGCAGCACGCGTGCCGTTCGGTGGCCTACCTTACAGGCGCTTCGGCCCTGGACCACAGGCCCTTGAACACTTTCTTCGGCCCCCTCTGCTGGAAGCGTCGTCTCAAAACATAACCGCAGTAAAATGGGATTGGAATTTTTTTTTAAAAAAAAAGCAAGTTCACCGAAAATGTTGCTCATTGTATTTAGGTCCTTGCAAATTGTTTACCGTGGTTTTAATGACTTCTTCCTTAGCTTGGCTATGTTTTTGATCCTTGAAATTCCGCCCTTGCCAATGGAATACTCTGATGAGGCTTCCTTTGATACTGGGACTGTTCCCAGGACGTTAAGAATGGGTGGCACATGGCCGCTTCAGTCTTCATTCCAGGTGAACTTTGTTGCTGAGAGAGGTGGATGGATAGAGTAGTATCCGGTCAGCTTCTTGCTCTTGCATGTCAATGTCTGTGATGAGATCCACATAGGTTTTTTCTCGCTACTATTACGGCCTCAAAATTATTAATTTCAAAAGTCAGTACTCTACAAACTGAAGTGTGTACTCAGTATGCATCTACAGATGCATACTTATAAGTACACACCTACAGATGCATACCTAGCTGAGTACACATCTACAGATGCATACCTGTTAAGTATGCATCTGTAGGTGCATACTTGGCAAGTATGCATTAGTGTAGGTGCGTACTTGTCACTATATAAATGCCCAGTATCAAGTACACAAGTACAGATGAATACTTGGCTGAGTACACATCTACAGATGTATACCTGTCAAGTATGCATCTGTAGATGTGTACTCAGCTAGGTATGCATCTGTAGGTGTGTACTTATAAGTATGCATCTGTAGATGCATACTGAGTACACACTTCAGTTTGTAGAGTAGCCCACTGGTTTCGCAGATCTCATGGATGCGGGAAAAGCGTGCGTCAGAGCTTACGCTTTTGCAGCCAGCTGTCGTTTCTAAATGAAGAAAAAAGATACAGAGATTGAAAAGAAAATGACTGTCATTTTAAATATATCAGATAGGGAGGAAAAATGATTTAGAAACGACACAGCTGGCTGCAAAAGCGTAAGCTCTGACACACGCTTTTTCCGCATCCATGAGATCTGCGAAACCAGTGGGCCACTGACCTTTGAAATTGATAATTTTGAGGCCGTGAATAGTAGCGAGAAAAACCTTTCTGGCCCTCATTACAGACATTGACATACAAAAGCTAAAAGCTGACCTGATACTTCTCTACCCACCTCTCTCAGCAACAAAGTTTACCTGGAATGAAGACTGAAGCGGCCATGTGCCACCCATTCTTAACGTCCTGGGAACAGTCCCAGTATCAAAGGAAGCCTCATCAGAGTATAAATCTCATCTTGGAAAGCTTGGCCCCAAATTGCGTAGCTCTAGATGAAAATGTAGGATTGGCATTGAAATAAATGTAGTTTTTGTAACCAGTACTCTGAAAACTACATCAAGAACCTATATCAAGAACCTATAGAGACATTCCATGCCGGTTCTGCCAGGGCCTGAAGGTGACCATTGAAGATTTCCGCGCCGCTTTGGCACAGTGGCACAGACATTGACATGCAAGAGCAAGAAGCTGACCTGATGCTGCTCTACCCACCTCTCTCAGCAACAAAGTTCACCTGGAATGAAGACTGAAGCGGCCATGTGGCACCCAGTCCAAACGTCCTGGGAACAGTCCCAGTATCAAAGGAAAGCCTCATCAGAGTATTCCATTGGCAAGGGCGGAATTTCAAGGATCATAAACATAGCCAAGCTAAGGAAGAAGTCATTAAAACCACGGTAAACAATTTGCAAGGACCTAAATACAATGAGCAACATTTTCGGTGAACTTGCTTTTTTAAAAAAAAAAAAATCCAATCCCATTTTACTGCGGTTATGTTTTGAGACGACGCTTCCAGCAGAGGGGGCCGAAGAAAGTGTTCAAGGGCCTGTGGTCCAGGGCCGAAGCGCCTGTAAGGTAGGCCACCGAACGGCACGCGTGCTGCAGGGGCTGCCTGCTCTACTTAATCGCAGGCGCTCCCCGCGGACAAATGTGAGCGAACGCCTGTAGAGCACCCGCCTCTCCCGAGGGGGGAGTTGGGGGAGGCGGAATCAAGTTTTGTCAAACATACTGGGCCTGAGGTCCATAATCACCACTGATGCGGGGCTAGGACGACATATAAGCTTAGGGCATAATTTTGTGAAAATTCACTGTATTCTTTCCTCCCCTCCCCTTTACCCCCGAGCCGGTGAGTGACCCTGGGGCTTGGGATCAAGTTGAAGTTATTGCAGGGGTCTGTTTTAGTCGGGCTGAGATGGCCTGGGACTCGTATGGCAATTGCCGTGGGCCTGCAAGCGAAAGTCCACTCCTTGCACCATTTAGTGCAAATTTGGGATTTTTCGAAACTTTGGAGCGGTGTAGCGGCTAAACTAGGGCCGGTCCCATACTTTCTGGCACCGGAACTCGAAAGATCTCCTCGAGACCTTCAAGAATCCGTTAGAAAAAGTTCAAATATCGATTTCGGTCATCGAAAGATCCCTCGCCAAAGTTAGCAAAAATTACCTCATTTTTACATGTTTTTAATTTACAAAATCGCTGGGATCACCACGAAGATGACTTCAAAAGTAGAATTTGACCACTGGAGTCTCTTCCTCTATTTAATACGCATCTTTTAAGCACAAAATCATTGAGCTAGCGTTGAAATTGTGCCGTGGAGAGCCAAGAAAGAGACTTCGAAGCGCAATTTCAACAAAACCACTAAAGAAAGTTCAGAGAAATCTAAAAATTGCCACCCTGGGCGCAAAAATGGACTTAGGGACCTAAAAATTTGGCAATCGCCCTATCTCGATGAGTACAAAGAAATGCCAAAGTGGCGCGGAAATCGTCAATGGTCACCTTCAGGCCCTGGCCGAACCGGCATGGAATGTCTCAAACCCATTCTGCACACAGGCGACGGAATCCGTTCACTCGCCACGGAATCCGGACAACACTGCACACTGCAGGAAATAACCACAACAAAAGTACACAAATTTCTGGCAAATTTTTTATCAGGTTTTTATTGTACTTTCAAAGTACAACAATTGTTGTACAAAGTACAATGGAACCGGCATGACGAGTGCTGGGCAGTCCCGGCCTCGTTGTGGTTTGTACAATTCTCGTTGTACTTTCTACAATCCCTGTTGTACTTTCATTGTACAGTTTTTGTTGTACATTTGTTGTACTATTCACACTTTTTCTTGCAGTGGCACCGTAATCGTCAATTGCGATTCCCTCCACCTCGCGACTTTGAGATGTTATATTGTTGGAAATAAAGAGTGTTGATGTACCACGTAAGGAAAATATCAATTTATGGACTTGTCAAAGCAAGAAAAAGTAAACGCACTCATCAAAATATGGAAATAATGTCCGAAACAACAAAAGCATCCAGAGACACAGTGAGGTTAGGTTGGCCAGCGAGACCGCAACCCCTTAGCAGTTTCTGTGAGCCCATCCCAGTTTCTATGGAGCCTTTGTCAGTTTCTGTTAGCCCATGCCAGTTTCTGTGACTACCAAATTCAGAATCATTTACTGGCGGTTTCTGTACCGAACCGTTACGGATTCTGCCATTTCAATTTACTGTGCACTGCAAAGCCGGTGGTAAGTTTGCTTGCCACAAACTTGGCAAGCCGTTTTGAATGCCAAAAGTTGGCAAGTTTTGGTCGGAAGTCTTCAAAAGCTTGCCAAATTTTGGCAAGCTGGGGGTATTCCCGGGCCAAGCTTGCCAATTTTCGGCAATCAAAACGGCTTGCCAAGTTTGTGGCAAGCAAATTTACCACAAGCTTTGCAGTGTGCACTTTCTCCTTCAGTGTTCAATGTGTTGTAGTTCGCGTCTCTGCACACCCACTGCGCTCCACCCTCATCTACTGCGCTGCTGTGACGGCGGTCGTGCTGTGGTCGGGGTTCCACATGATACAGGACCGCATTGCCATGCTGAGAGACTCGGGTCGCTCGCTTCAGGCGTACATCAACTCCGTGCTCAGCATGGCACACGCAATGGGTGTGCTGCTTCTTCCACTGCTGTGGCTCGAAGTCGGAAGGGTTTACCGCAACGAGGCCACCTGTGCGTATCTCATGGTAAGCAAGTTTCGCGCTAACAGTCGACTTTCTATGTATGGAACCAGTCACTTCAGTCCAGACGCGTTCGAACTCCGAAGTTTTGCAAATTGTGCCCAAGCGGCAAACAGGTTCAAAAAAAAACTTGTAAATTCTAACTTAAAATTTAAGTTATCATACATGTTTAAAAGCCGTTATTTCGATTTCTTTAGCGCTCCGTTACTTCGAAGTTGTTTTAATTATGTACTCCCAATTTCCTACTGAGAAATACCGTGCAGTCATAATACTAAGCTAATTCTCAGTACTTTACGACACAAATCTGTCATAATACAAAGAAATTTGTTCTTATTACGAAGAAAAAGCTCAAGTGCATGCATGGCCAGGGATCCTTAACTTAACATTTAACTAACACTGCTTTCATAACGTAACATAAGACAATGTTCGCTAAAGGTTAAGGGTACGGACTTATGAAAGTACTTGCAAAAGTATATCCACTCAAATTCGAGACATAAAAAAATAACCTACCCTTTTCAAAAGATGTAAGAAGTTAAGGGTAATAACTTTAACTCTTATGATAACGTTATGATGCCCTTATGAGGTAAGTTAAGGATCCCTGTGCATGGCAGGCATGCGCTAGCTAGAGCGTGCTTGCCGGCATGCTCCAGGTAGAGCATACAATGTACGCTTTTTGATTTGTAGAGTTGAAGGGGGGTCTTTTGGTGTAGTGACAAATCCTTATCTCTATAATACTTTGAAAACTTAAACCTAACTGACCTAACTTACCCAACGTTATGTTAGATTAATTTTCCGCCCCAGAGTTCTTGCTGATATCTATCAGAACGCTTGATCCACGAAGCGGAAGAAGGGAATAATTCGACTTATCTCCAAATTGAGTTTTCATCTTATAATTGTGCCTCAGGATGGTTTGAATCATTACACCAAATTGTTTGACCCAACTCCTAACAGTTTAGGAGATAATCCACATAAAAAATGGATATAACTCAACTAGACCCCTTTTACGGTCTAAATTTTATTGGAAAATGGAGGTAACTCAACCGAAGTCCACATAACTCCTTTGCGCAAAATGGCAAAAGGAGATAACTCAACTTGTGTCTTTATGAAATCTTATGTAAAAAGAATCAACTCAACTCCCCATCACTAGATGGAAAAAAGAGGTAACTCCAAAAATGTACCACAGAAATACAGACTCAACGCAGTCAGCTCCACACGAATTGTCTCCAAATTCCGCCTCGTTTGGGAGAACTAAGTATATATGTTTCCGTAGTCTATTCCAACGCAAAGATTTAAATCACAGAAATCGTCTACAGAGTGATGCTACATTTTTGAAAATGTTCACAGTCATTTCTTGGGCTTTTTTGACAAAAATGCAATTGAACCATTCATCTGATTGGATTGAGTTTACCCAGCAAACGGTTTTTTGTTTCTCCTGAAAAATGATAAAAATTGAGTTATCCCCTTCTTCTGCTTCAGAGATCGCTTAAAAAAAAGTTTCGCATCTCGACAGTTATGGGACGTCATCAAAATTGTGTTTTTGTTGGTTTTTTTCCTCTTAATATTCGAACACTTTTATGGTAAAATATCTCAGTCATAACTCAAGTGCTGAGACTTCCTCCAACGTTTGTTGGTGCAGGAAAGCTTCCCTTGCACTGCAACTTGCCGGTGGTCGAGGGCACTGACTTGGATAACGGCTTTGAGCTGCGTGTTGGTCATGCCCCTCTCCACCCTGCTGTACGTCCGCGGCATCGCCTGGGAGGGCGCCACTAACCTGCACCTCATCATCCACAACCACGTGTTCCTGCTGGTCTTTTGCGTCTGCGCCATCCACTCCGCGATGGCATGTTGCGTCAGAACCTACGCCAACAACCTGCGCCGCTGTGTAACTGATGTTAGTACTCTGTCAGAAATTAGCTCCGAGTCACTCCGAAACATTACGGAGAGGAGCACTGTTAGCAGAGTAGTCCCGCAGAGAGGAGCCAAAGTCAGCAACCCCAACTGATGAGATACCAGAGTCATCATCTGCTGCCTGCCTTATGAACAGTTTTCCTTCCTGCCTTGTCACCTTGAATGGGATATCTCTTTCCTTACATCCCTTGGGGAATATCTCCATCATAGTGACACTGGAAATTCTAGCTCTGAGCTCCTCTTCATCTTCTCCATCTGCTCCCCCAGATGCTCGGTCTGCTAGTTCATCTAATTTATTCAATAGAGATACTGCCCGCCGCTTTTCTCACGGTTTGAGCTTAAAGTGAAGTAAGGCACTCTGTCAAAAAAAATAATCTCCGGAATTTGCTAGGGAACTTCTGGAAATTTTGGCAAATGCATGTAAAGGTACAAAATGTTGACCCCTACAGGAGCTATCTCTGAAGTGCCCAAGCCCGGAACGACTGTTGAAGTGCCGACGCGCTTGGGTGAGGCTTCGGGACTTGGCGCAAGAGCTGGTGGTGATGCCATTTACTACCACTTACCTGGTGCTGTTCGTCTTTCACATGATAACCTTGGGCTCGTACCTGTGTCTCACATGCTTCTATGAAAGTCAGGTTGGTCAGCTGCATTAGTATATCTCTCTCTATCATCCTAAAACCTCTGACGTGGTAGTTTGTTGTCATAAAGATGGGCTGATGGGTTTGCAACAACGTTTAAAAAACAACCCGTACTAGACAGCAAGCTGCGAATGAATTATTTTTTTTGACACATGTTGTATTAGAGATTATTTATTGGTCAAATTCGATCAAATTTTGTAAGAGATAAGAAAACTTCTTCATTGGATCAATAATATGCACTTAACTTATGAGGCTTTTCCTCGTGGACCCGCGAAGAGGTACCTCTGACACGAATCGTTTGTCTAGTTGTAAGACTTAAGTAGAAGTTAATGAAAGTCAGTTTTAAGGAAAGCCTTTACTTAAAATGGCTTAAGGTTAAATATGAGAACCATTATCTCTCAGGCCTGATGACTGTCAATATGTCTGGAAATAAGCAAATTCACTTTATTACTCCGTACGTCAGACTTTTGCAACAACTCAACCGAAAAATTCTGGCCAGTAAGTTTCCTGTTCAACTCCCACACTGAGAAGACCTTACAAACTATTTTGGGCCTTACAAAGAAAAGTAGTTTGTAAAACACAGTATTTTGAGCATACATAAGATTACAAAGAAAATACTTCGTAATTTACAAACTATTTCTTCGTGTAACAAAGTATATTAGTTTGTTATATGTATGCTCAAAATACTTCGTAAGGTTTTAAGAGTGCACGAATGTGTTATTGTTGAACAGGAGCCCCAAGTTTCGGGGTTGGCTATTCACTGGTTTTTTGACAAAGGGGCGTAAGTCCACAAATTGGCAAAATCCACTTTTTTTCAGAAAAGAATTTAAAATTAAAGAACAAGCCTACTGGTTTTTGAAAAATGAAAATATCTCAATTAGTTCAGAAGATACAGAAGGTGTCCAAAGGGCGTAAGTCCATTCCATTTTTGACAAAGGGGCGTAAGTCCACCCGTTTTCTGACAAAGAGGCGTAAGTCCAGGTGGTTTTTTGACAAAGAGGCGTAAGTCCAGGTGGTTTTTTGACAAAGAGGCGTAAGTCCAGGTTGGTTTTTGACAAAGAGGCGTAAGTCCATTGGCCATTCTGACAAAGAGGCGTAAGTCCACAGGCCATTTTGACAAACAGGCGTAAGTCCATGGGTCATTCTGACAAACAGGCGTAAGTCCATAGAACATTCTGACAAACAGGCGTAAGTTCATAGAGCTTTCTGACAATCAGGCGTAAGTCCATGGACCTTAAGTCGTAAGTCCGTTGCATAAGTCCACAGACCATCCCAATCAACTAACCACTCATGAGGTCACTGAGTGGTTTGCAACTTGTGAACACTGTTCCAATCAAATAATAATGACTACAGTGCAAACCTAACTTTCAACTAAGTACACACCTAAAAATGCAAGCTTCCAAGTACACATAAACGCATGCTTGGCCAAGTACATACTTACAAATGCATGCTTGCAAGTACACACTAACAAACGCATCCCTGGCGCCGTATAACTCCATGCGTGAAGCATGCGTTTGTAAGTGTGGACTTGCAAGCATGCATTTGTAAGTGTGTACTTAGTAGACAGTTAGGTTTGAAGTGTAACGTTTCCTCTCATCTCAATCGCATCAGGCTTACAATACGTATTTCAGAATGGACTCTTACATCTTTGCGAGGGTAATCAGATTTAAAAGAGCAGCATTCTTCCTCACCGGAGTCCGATGGAGATGGTGATTGGCGCATTAATCTTCTGCAGCAGGGGAGAACCTGGACTCATCCATGCTGATAACCTCCATGTAGCACACTCTGTGTTGGGCCCATGACTTTTAGGCCAAGTGCTGCCTAAGAAGACGAATGCAACATTCACCATCGTCATCGGACTCTGGTTTCACCATCATCATCGGACTCAGGTGACGAAGAATGCTGGTCTTTTAGATCTGATACCCCTTGCAAATATTTAAGAGTCCGTTTTGAGATATGTGTTGTTAGCCTGATGGGATTGAGATGAGAGGAACCATTAGTCATTGAGTGGACATTCGCCATTTTCACCACATTAGCTGTGGACATTCGTAAGTGGTTAATTACAAATCACAACTAGTTTATCGGGATAGTCTGTGGACTTACGCCTCTTTGTCAGAATGGCCTATGGACTTACGCCTGTTTGTCAGAATGGCTAATGGACTTACGCCTCTTTGTCAAAAATCCACCTGGACTTACGCCTCTTTGTCAAAAAACCACCTGGACTTACGCCTCTTTGTCAAAAATCCACCTGGACTTACGTCTCTTTGTCAAAAAACCACCTGGACTTACGCCTCTTTGTCAAAAATCCACCTGGACTTACGCCTCTTTGTCAAAAATCACACCTCATTTGGAAGGGTTTTTCTGACATTGTAGGAGTTACAAAAGAGTTACACACATGAGATTTTTACCAAAAGATGCAAACTTTCTCAAAGAATTTGTCACAAAAATTTGAGTGTTGTGTGGGAATTTATAGATCTTAGGAGCTAAAAACTGTATGTTTTTTGGCCGTCCTGAAAAATTTGGTTCAGTGGACTTACGCCTCTTTGTCAAAAAACCAGTGTATTGAGAGTGGGGCCCTTTAGACATTGCTCATATGGGCAAACACGTTTGCGGATGACTGCACCAATGGTTGTTTATAGAAAAGGAGCTAGAGTCACTAATTCCGAATTATTTGTTGGCACAGGTGGACAAGGGCATCATCATGGTCGTCCTCGGCCTTTCCGTTGGCGGACTCCTCATCGCCCTCCTCGACGCACTTCATCGCACTGCAGCAGCGGTTAGTTGAGTCGATTTATCAGTCAACGAACAAGCTAGGGATCGTGACCAAGGCCCACCCTTCTATTCAAAATGTGGACAAATACCTATGGACAAGATTTTTCAGTCGGTCGACCCTCTCTTTTTCAGAAGGTCTGTGAAGGTTTTTTCAGATACTTAACGTGATAACTGCCGAAGGCGGGCTCGTCGGCTCGTCGACCCCGCTTCCAACCACTCGTTGAAAAGGTCTTGGCAAGACCTATCGAAAACTGCAATAAATCCAAGATCCAAGGCACTCCCTCAGCGCCTTCCAAATTTGGGAATTCTAGCTCAACTTCGTCCTTGTACACAGACGACGACAACGACGACGACACACAGACACAAAGGCAAATGCATAGGCCTTCCCCCTTTTTTAAATAGAAGGGCGGGTCAAAAAGGTGCTTTGAATACTGGCCGCTTAGGCCTTCAAGGAGAAAAGTGTCGCATCATGAAGCGATTTTTTTTCATAATGCGTCACGTGGCGGGTGCCACTCCAAAGAATAAGCCGCCACACCATTCTGAACACCGTTTTCAGGGGGCGGCAACGGCCTAGGAAGCGCGTGAAGCCATGCGCGAGGGAGGTGCAGGGGTTACTTATGTTGCTTCGATTGGAAGATCTAGCCCGTTGATTGCAAAACGCTTTGCGCAGATCAAAAGAGCACAAAATTTAAGGTGCATTAGGCCTAGTAGACTGCCCGATACTTCTAATTCAACCGAACGCAAGGGCGGAATCATTTACATCAACATGGCGCATTCGAGCTTTTCCTGAATGTTATGATTTCTCGTGTTTTTCGGTGTTTTCACTGCACCTTAAGGGGGGACCCTGGTGAAAAAATGGCCAAAACTGCCAAAAATAGTATTTTGGAAGTTCATAGATAAAAATGTGCATAGAAGGTTTCAAATTCAACAGGTTGAACACCTTTAAACTATGTGGGTAGTTCCTTCATCATTTGGAAAGAAATAACATTGAGATCAGTTGTCGTTGGCTTATACGCTCCACTTCACAGCTTTGCTCAGTCGACAAAAAATTTTGTCGTAGAAAGACTTCCTGCATTCCTGGTTGACACCTACATGAATCGTCTTGCATGGACTCTATTCATTGATGACTTGTCGACAAATTTTAGTGACGGAATCTTAATATCAGCCCTACTTTTTATAACACACACCTAAAAGTTTCAAAAAAAGGCAAAAAATTCACTTTTTTAAAATGTTAAAATTTGCAAATTGATATCTCAGGACAGAAGTTGAAATTGAAAATTCCGTCACTAAAATCTCTTCTATACATCTTAAGGATGACCCAAAAAAAATTTCAAGACTTTCCGTTCCAATGAAAGACGCAGGAAGATTTTTCCCCAACGCTCTAAAAAACACTAAAAAGCCACTTTTCTCAGAGACCGTTCAACATTTTGGATTGAATTTTGTTTTATGAACTCACCATAATGAACCTAATAATCAAGCAAAGTTTCAACTTGCTGGGATTATTTTAAAGCCTACTTGAAAGTTTCACCAGGGTCCCCCCTTAATATAAAGTCAGAGGAGAGTTTCGAGAAGAGCAATTGGCCTAATGCACCCTAAATTTCAAGCCCTTTCCATCGGTGCAAAGCGTTTTGAAAAACACAGTCTAGTTTTCATGATCTCGAACAAGTGCGCAACCTCTGCACTGACGGCGCGAGCATCGATTCACGCTCTCCCTAGGCCGTTGCCACCCCCTGCCGTTTTCTTCCCACACAGTAGTATACACACTAAGAAAAATTGTGAATAGTACAACAAAAGTACAACAAAAACTGTACAATAAAAGTACAACAGGGATTGTAGAAAGTACAACGAAAATTGTACAAACCATAACGAGGTCTGGACTTCACAGCTTTTCTTGTGCCAGTTCCATTGTACTTTGAACAACAATTGTTGTACTTTGAAAGTACAATAAATTCCTATTAAAAATTTGCCAGAAATTTGTGTACTCACTGGTAGAACTCAAGCGTACTTTTACGCCGTTCTTCAAGCGTAGTAGGGACATTCCATGTGAAGTCAACCAGGCCTTAGCCACCATGGGCTCCGATCCGGTTCTCGTTTTCGGGGTTTGTTACCACTATGGTCCCATGAAATAATCGGTACTTGGTTTGGGGTCCGGCCCCCCAGGGGCTGGGCTATGGCCAATTTACTTTTTTGCTGTATATTGGAACAACGCAACTTTGGAGGGCAATATCTCAGCAACCATTCGTCGTAGGTCAAATCCAAGACCAGATTTGGAAAGAGGATGAAAAACTGAATCTTTTTTGTCTTTGAAGTTTTTATGTCCAAAAACTTTTTATAACTTTAAAACTTTAGTGAAGTTTTCAAATTAGCGCAATTTCCTAGATCCTCAACCGATTTTGACCAATCTGGGCTTAAAAGATAGCTTAAACCCTTCCCTAAACGAAAATGTTAACCAAAAAATGTGTTCGGCTTCGTTACCGAGAACGAGCCATTTTCGTGAACCCCTGCAACCACGTATTTCACCAAATTGTAGTGACGGCCGCACTCGATACCACACTGGACGCTCTCTTGGGTGTTTTCGGCTCAAAGCAAGTTTCCGGGTTGCTTTTCTAGGGTCAGGGGACCCAAGCGCCTGTCAGGTAGGCCAACAACCAGCAGACCTGCAACGCACTAGTGACGACAGGGTGGCCTACACTATAAAATCAAATGTGTGCTTAGTACAAAGCTGCCACTGTTAGAAATCCAGCCGCTTTAGAACGGAAAATTCGTGCAAAGTTTAAAAACGACTACTGATGTTCTCAAACGGCAAATCTCTGTTTTAAAACAAAAAATAATAATTCTAGAACAAAATTTTACCATTTGGTGATGAAAAATGCGCTTTCAAAACAAAAATCTGTTTGGAAACAGAAATTACGTGTTCACAAACGAAAAAACATCATTCGCACAACGCCCTTTTCTGTTATTTCCATTAACGGTAGGCATTGTTTTAAAAATTTGCGTTACTTTTTCCGTTTGAAAATGGTGCAAGTCATTCCTACCTTTGCTCGTCATTTTCACCGAACTGGTTTCAGTTACTGACGGCATTGCAATTCGAAATGGTCATCCGACATGTTGTATATCATATGACACTCTCAGGTTAGACCAAATATTCCTCGTTTCCCGGCAACAAGCAAAAGTATTTTGGCTGCTTACGGCTGAACCGCTCTGTTTGAGAACGGAGAATTTTTAACAGTGTGTGGGAGTATGCTTGGAAGCATACATCTATAGGAGTGTGCTTGTCAAGCATACACTCTTAAAACCTTACGAAGTATTTTAAGCATACGTATAACAAACTTAAATACTTTGTTATACGAAGAAATAGTTCGTAAATTACGAAGTAATTTCTTTGAAAGCTTATGTATGCTCAAAATACTTTGTTATACAAAGTACATTTCTTTGTAAGGCCCAAAATAGTTTGGAAGGTTTTCTCAGTGTACATCTATAGAAGTGTACTTGGGCAAGCATGCATCTATAGATGTGTACTCAGGGAAGAATGCACCTCTAGCTGTGTACTTGGGCAAGCATGCATTCATCTCACCCATTTAAAAGCACACAGCCATAAATGCATGCTTGCCCAAGTAGCTATAGGTGCACATCTAAAGACGTATGCTTGTCAAGCAGTTTTCTATAGATGCATGCTTACCCAAGCATACTTCTATAGCTGTGTGCTTACCGTAGAACGGGGTAATATGAGACATGAAGGAAAATAGAGACAAAGCGCACTTTTTTTGGTTTTTGTCGTGTTGCTCTCAAGCGGTTGTTCAGAAGACCATCGGGAATTTTTTTTCGTGATCTAGGAGGCCTTAGCAGATCACGGGAAACGCACGAAGGCAATCAGAGACTCGCCAGGATTATTAAGAACCAAACGAAAATCATCTAAATTCTGACAAGCTTTATAAAGTTCGTAAAAACCTCCCCAGAAACCTCGGTTGGAACTCTGGTTCTCGTCCGAACGAGGTTTAAATCTGTAGACAATCATGTCAACATAATCAGGACAAAATTTGGTTCTGTTATGTCTACTCCCGGGCCGCCTGTTCCAGATGGAATACAATTTTGTAACCTTGCAGGGAAAATAGAGACACCTCTTTTCGTTGGAAACATAAGGCCAAACATACTCCACTGTTCTTAATTTCAAGTAATAATGATTTTAACACGAATTTGTTTTACTACCTGACCGGCATCTATGCTCTTCGTTTAGTATTTTCATGTGACAGGCACAACTCATGACTTCTTAGACATTTTTCAGCTCTTTTTGGTGACACCCATTTTTCTTCCCTCCAGATTTTATCCCTCCTTCATTATAGTCCCCAATCATCTTTAAAATGAATGAAAAGAACTTAAAAAGCTCCAAACCCACCTAAATGAGTTTATTTTCCATACTTCTTTACCATTTTTCTCTTTTGTCTCATATTACCCCACATTGCAGGGAAATATGGGACGGCATTCCGAAGGTTATTGAAAGGTCCCTACTGCACCTAAAAATCTGAAATTTGGAGGGAGTGTAGCCAAAGGGTCAATGAACAAGTGATGAACACCTCAGCACCTCAAGTTGAGATTAAAAGGGGGAAATTCACATAAAACCTCGAAATTTGTCTCATATTACCCCGTTCTACGGTACACAGCTATAGGTGCACATCTATAGATGTATGCTTGTCAAGCACTTTTGTATAGATGTGTGCTTGACAAGCACACTCCTACAGATGTATGCTTCCAAGCATACTCCCACAGCTTTGTACTAAGCACACATTTGATTTTATAGTGTAGGCCGCCCTGTCGTCACTAGTGCGTTGCAGGTCTGCTGGTTGTTGGCCTACCTGACAGGCGCTTGGGTCCCCTGACCTTAGAAAAGCTACCCGGAAACTTGCTTTGAGCCGAAAACACCCAAGAGAGCGTCCAGTGTGGTATCGAGTGCGGCCGTCACTACAATTTGGTGAAATACGTGGTTGCAGGGGTTCACGAAAATGGCTCGTTCTCGGTAACGAAGCCGAACACATTTTTTGGTTAACATTTTCGTTTAGGGAAGGGTTTAAGCTATCTTTTAAGCCCAGATTGGTCAAAATCGGTTGAGGATCTAGGAAATTGCGCTAATTTGAAAACTTCACTAAAGTTTTAAAGTTATAAAAAGTTTTTGGACATAAAAACTTCAAAGACAAAAAAGATTCAGTTTTTCATCCTCTTTCTAAATCTGGTCTCGGATTTGACCTACGACGAATGGTTGCTGAGATATCGCTCTCCAAAGTTGCGTTGTTTAAATATATAGCAAAAAAGTAAATTGGCCATAGCCCAGCCCCTGGGGGGCCGGACCCCAAACCAAGTACCGATTATTTCATGGGACCATAGGGGTAACAAACCCCGAAAACGAGAACCGGATCGGAGCCCATGGTGGCTAAGGCCTGGTTGACTTCACATGGAATGTCCCAGTAGAACTGCGCCCCGCTTCAAGCGTAGTTCTCCATTTCGCCCCCCACCCGCCTATCTAAATGCATGGGTGACTTGCTTCTCTACGCTTGACTTGAAGCGCAAAGTCTTCAAGCGTAGTTGTATGCTTGAATGAAGCATACAACTACGCTCCAGTTTTACCAGTGCTTTTGTAATGTTTTTTTCTTGCTATTTCTTAATCAAAGTTTTTCTCCTGAAAGGTCGGTGAAAATTTCTTGAAACCGCTAGAATTATTCTGCAGCGCCATAAGTGGGGTCGGAGGGGCAGCCATGGGAGAGGTAAGACATTTCTCATTAATGCAAAATTTTCCGTCCAAATTTGTCCAAATACAAATTTGGAAGTGCGTCGCGCGAAAGCCATGGACGATAAACGACGTCAGGATAATTTGTCTGCGCAGGTCAATATATTTCGCGAAATCGTGGCGTCGAAGGAAATCACCATAACAGCAGCTGGCTTATGGGTCGTTAACCGGGGAACGATTAGCTCGGCAAGCCTAGTGAGATTACTGACGTAACCGCAACTTGTCCGATTAACTAACACCACTCTCCTTCTCTCTCAGCTTGCGGCAGCAGCAGTCAGCTATCTCGTCGTCCTTATTCAGTTCCGTCCAACAGAGAACTCTGCTAACGGCGTCTCAAACCATTCCCAAGAAACGATCACTTTTAAATGAGAAAATGTCCTTCAATAACAAACAACACACCGAATTCAGAAGTATAATTTTAAAACCTGGTCTCGGAAGATTTTGAGCGTACACTGTTACAAAAAATGTTGTAAATTAACAACATTTTTGCTGCTCAGCTTTTTTTAACGCATCTTGTTATACTACAAACATGTTGTAGCACTCTGTGCTGTTTTCTGATGAATCGATTGTTGTAAAACACCACTTTTATCGAGTCTTCGATTTTGACTTGGCCACATGTGTTGGCCTTATCGTGTTGTAATTTAACAAGATCCTTGTTATATGACATCAATGTTTGTTTTAGAATTGCATGATCGTTGTTTATAAACAGAAAATCTGTTGAATGACAACATAACTGTTTTTAATCACGATTACATTATTGTTTTCGGACAAGAAAGTTGTAATAAAACAAAAGAGTTGCCTATAGGATGGATATCCTGTTCAGACAACAAACAGACGTGTTGTAATAAAACAACATCGCTGTAGGATATCATGTTGTAATATTACAGTGGATCTTTAACAATGTAAGTACTTTTCGTATAAACTTGTGCGCGATTTGGCACGACTTTGAACGATGCCGCGTTCAAATTCGTACGGAAAACTTCGCGGTTTTAAACTTGTGAGAGGGCACCGGCTGTATGTTCTCTTCACCATGAACCTGATACAAGAAGAAATGTCATCAATGGATAACAAAAGTACTCAAGATTCAAAATTTCAAAAAATACTCCAGTTTGGATCATTTTAGCAATTTCGACAAACGTACTCGAAGAAAACGTGTCGTATCTCCGTGTCGGGCGGTTTGTTTCCAATTCTTGAAATCAGTCATTTTAACTTTTGGGATCCAACAGTTGGCTTCGGAATGACTTCACAGTCCACTGCCAAGCAGAAACATGGAACGGCCGCTGCCCTGTTCTTCATGTGGCGCGCTGTCACTCGGAACATGTACCGTCCGTACGGCATCACTGGAAAGTTAGGAAACGTCCAGCTCACTGATTCGTTCTTCAAGTCGAAGTAGCCCTGCCGAACAAATTAAGTGTTAAGCGGAGGTTGTGTGGGGTCAGCCAACACATTGCCCGTCAGGCTTCCGGTGTAGCTGCACACTCAACATCTTATGATCGTTTTCATACGTATTACGATGGTTTTTAATCGTAAGGTACGCATAAATTTGCACATACGTAATATGCTTAATTTTTCATCGTATTACGCATGAATTTCATCGTATTACGCATGCATTTTATTGTAGTACGTATGTTCTCATTTCAACGTATGTTACAATGGCTCTTTCGTCATAAGAATCTAAGGGGGTGCAACGTAGGGGCCGTCCATTAATTACGTTACGAACCAAGGGCGGGAGGGCATCTGTTCTGCATATTGCTGCGGTACATGCGGGACGGGGGGTACGAGCCAGCACAACGATATTACACTAAATGCATTTTATGTGAGGGCGCATTTCTGAATGACGAACAGTAAATAAGCGGTACTAGACCGACGCCTACTGAGAAACCTCGCCACCTCCGTGTCCATGGAGCGAGGCTTCTCCATTGCTGGTGGTATCGCCGAAGAAAAATCTCATTCAATGAACGTTAATGAAAGCAGATGATACTCGTTTGGTTTTCTTCTGCGGGGTGGTATGGGCTCATTCCAAAGATAGTACTTAAAATCTCATTCGACGAACGTCTGAACGAGGCCGAGCTGGCGCCGAAGTCGGCACGAGCTGAGCAGAGCCGAGGTCTGCCCGAGTCACCCTTTGAGACGTGGCAGGCGGAGAGGGGTTGTCAATGTTGCGCGCGGGCCGTCGCGCGCGAGGAGGGGGTAGGGGGTGCCATTGTCCGCGCAGGCTGCGCCTCACCGCCAGCCAGCCAGCCAGACACACCAGCCCGCCCCGGCCGCCAGCCCCTATTATATTGTTAGGATATGCGCTTGGTTTCTGGACTTGAGAGTAAAAGCATGCTGACACCTTCATTTGTGTATAGTAGTTTTAAGTATGTTCCAAGTGTGAAGGTATCATCTGCTAAAAAGGCAACAGGATTAGGCCCACGTCAACGCACCTGCGCTGACGACTTTTCCTCAAGACGGTCCCCGTCACTTTCATATCTTCAGCTGCAAATTTGAATTCTTGTCATCTGACCAAAAGCTTAAGTTACATTTATGTCGACATGTGTTTGCTTTAAGTCTCTGAAAAGCACTTTGAAAAAACCTGACATTACGTTATTATTTGATTACCAATCTTGTCTAGTCTATCCATAGACAATTCAGACTAATTTGATACGTAAAACGATCTTATTGACCTCTAATACCTGTGAAAACACTATTTTGGCTCCATTTTAAATGCTTGATCGACCACGCGCCAATTATGTGATATATTGACATGATAATTTTACGCGATATATCAATATTCGAAATATCGGGAGGTGAGAATATCTATATTTGCGATATCGATACTTTTCCTTTTCAATAGGATGCATATCTCTAACACCTCTTAACCGACCACGCGTCAATGCATTCGATGTTCATTTAATGTATCAACATATCGATAATTTTGACACTATATATCGATATTTGATATATTGAGAGATGAGAATATCGATATTTGCAATGTCGATAATTTTCTATACGATGCCCATCTCTACTTCCCCTTACTGCCCGTGTTGATCGAGACGTACTCCCGGTATGACGCATGGCGCCTTCTTGTCCATGCTCGCTCCGGTATGCTTGGCCACGATGCGGTACATGTCGGGCAGCTGGTCTCGCAACGCAGAGCAGCCGGAGTTGGGGAAACTGAAGACGAAAGCATTTTCTTTCCACTGGTTGTTCGACCGAACGGCCATGTCCACTCGCGCCTAAAAAGACAGCTTGATTTGGGCCTGTCTCGTACACGGTAAAAACGGTTCCTGGTTTTCCCAGTAACCCCCTGGAAATCGCCTATGCCTTCACCATTGGCTTCCTGGGAAAACCAGGTTCCGTTTTTACCGTGTAAGCTTAAAAATTAAAGTTAATTTTGCCTCACCAAAAGATTGTCTGAGATATTAAAATTTGCTGACATGTATCCTGTGAGCATCTGACGGTCGAAGGGTTTGACGGGGTTGAAGTGGCTTGCACGAATGGAGGCCATCGCTGATCCGTCTGATGGGCAAGGTTCGAACGTGTGGCCGAAAGCGATGAATGGGCCCTGGAATGCCAAAGAAAATGTTGTCGTGCTCCAAGCTGTAGCGAATCCTGATGGTAAATTACATCCGCCGCCGTAAGTCTTAAATTAAGGTGAACTAGACCCCAACAAACAGCGAGCCGAATTTTCGCAAGACTCTAGCTTTCGATTCCACTCTTCTGAAAAGTCAAAGAATGCCTAGTTCTCGCTGGGGAATGGTTTCACTGACACTCAGTCGAAGCTGTCACGTGCGTATGCCGGCAGCGCGGAGCACGGCAGCATGATACCGTTTTGTTTTTAAAAACTAGAGGGGCATTCCACGTCAAACCATCATGGCCCAAAACGCACTTGCCCAGATCTGGTTCCTAAATTTTTCTATCATAGCCTACCACTCAAGGACCACACGTATAATTTTTATTCAGAACTTTAGCTGTGGCGATTTTTTGAAATTTCAAACAAAATTTCAAAACTCTTTTTAAAGTTGTGCCTTTAGGCGCTCAAATGGGTTGAAAACAGTAAATGGCAACATATTTAAGTGAGAAACAAGTTTGAGACCCGCATCCTTTGCCAAAAAGAGCGTTTTTGACTAAAAATAGCGGTTTTTTAAATTCCCAAATTCAAAATTTGAATTTCCAAAACTTTTCGACCATATTGGTATTGTCCTAGTGTCTGTCTTAACTCTCTGGAACCATTTCAAGGTGAAGGTCAGCATTACAAGAGTTGCGGTCTACGATTTCTTGCTGTGTAGTGCCTAAATTCTTGTAATGCTCACGTTTACCTTGAAATGGTTCTCCAGAGTGTTAAGACAGACTAATGCACGGGAGCAATATGGGTGTCATATAGTCAATTTTTTTAGGATCCTTCAAGATAACTTTTAGAGTGTTTTGACAATATCTCTGGTGTTCATGGATTGCTGTCCCCAATATTTTGCTGGCAGTTAGAGTACCACGCCAGGGCCCTTTGATTCGGAAAATTCAGACCTACCTGACACTTCCGGCACTGAGAAACCAAACGCTGTGAGTATAGCGTCAATTGGTGCAATGCATTTGAAGACGTTTTCATTGCACCCATTGGTGCAACGCTTTTGCATTGCACGTAAAGTGCAATGCCTTCCCATGCATTAGCATAGGGCATTTTCGGGGCGCATTGCACGCAAGGTGCAATGTGGCTATGGCATACGTGCTATTCTCATAGCGTTTGGAATCTCAGTGGAGATGAATTCTCAGAATTCTATTGAACAGTGGCGACGCACTGTGTACATGGTCCGACGAAACCTATCGGGCTAACATGCCGTAGCTGCCGTGTTTCATTTCACTGAAAATTGAATGGTCGGACACACGGTCAAAATGTGGCGTGACAGGAAATTCACGCCGAAAAACGGCATGACGTATGCGTCACACCGTCATCTGGCTTGAATGTACCCTGGATGGTAACACGACGTTTTGCACAATTTTTTCTTATAAGTTTTGATTTTTTTTTTTATTTCACCCAAACGGCTTTGCACAAATTTTTTCACACATTTTTCTTTTGACCTACAATGCCACAATTTGTTTCAAAAGGGTAACAAGGGTACAGGGATATTCATGAGATCCATCACACACAGAATCGCATTGGACCAGAACGCGGACCAGAAAAAACTTCGGTAGCCTATTCAATAGAGTGGCACACATGAACTTGCCCAGTATTTGAAAAGCTTTCCCCAGGGGGAGGTCGAAGTTACGCGTTGGCGATTACAGGTTTGTGATAGCGACACTGCAAAAAAAAATTCTGAAATTTAAGACATGAAAATGTCTTAAATTTAATAACATTTTGAAATGATATGAAAACTCAGAAAAGTTTGTGAAAAGTGCTATACTTTATTACATTTACCAAAACTAAAATGAAAAGTAATAAATAGTTGGTAAATTTCAAAACCACTTTTAAAACTTAGGAACAGGGTTGTCAAAATTAAGATTGCCTGCCAAAAGTAAAAATTGGTTTCTTAAAATCCACATAAATGATGACTTTTCATAACTAGATTTCTGAAACTAACTGATTGAAGTTAAAGTTGAACGCTTCAGTGATAGCTGTCACATTCAACGTAAACCGAAGGTTTAGTTTGATTACTTCACGCAAACTGTCGACAAGCCACTTCTCACACAGTATGGCCCACAGTCAGCCGCTGGGTTCAAGGTCAGGTTTCACAGACCTGCCGCTAGGTGGCGCTTAGAGCGCCGTGTCCGTTCCCGAATAAGTATTTCCTATTTGTATTTCTAAAAGAACTTCTTTTGGCAAATGATACCATCTGTTGCCTTAGTAAATGTCTTCTCTAGCCGCTAGCTCAAATTTTTTTACAAAATATTCCACTGGAGTTGAGTATAACGCATAACCATGTTGCCACTCGCTGGCGTCTGCTGTCGGCCATTAGGTTAGGTCCAGGCACCTCCTCCGCTGTGACACAGTCGGAAGGTGGAAGACATACAATGTCAGGTGTTCGTGCTCCGATTAATTTTTGCCAACCGTCACTGTTATGTGACACGATGTAAGATGCATTTCAGAATTCTGACATCCACACTCGAAGTCGGACGTCGGTATAGAAGTTCTTTTCTCCCACTTTAGTCAAATATGTTTATAAATTTTAATAAACCATGATCTATGAATTTGAAAAACTTGGTCATTAGTTTTAAGAGGAGAAAGTTTCTTAGTAAACTGCTTCACAAACTACTTTCTTAAAATTAAGATGGATTTTTTTTGCAGTGGAGTTAGGGCAAAGTGACCCAATATTTTTGTTTCGAAACTTTCACTGCAAATCCAAGTGTAGGACAAGTGGACACTTGTAGGCGTAGACTACTTTGTCCAACGCTTGCAAGTGTCGACCAGTTGTGTCCGACGCTTTGAAGTGTCGACCACACTGTGTCTGACGGTTCTACGACGGTTCACACAAACTTTTTCACATACTGAAGTTTTGCCTAGTGTTATTTCACATAGACGGTTTCACACAATTTTTTTCACACAAAGTACCATTTCACATTTACAACGGTTTACACATTGTTCACACAATTTTTATGTGAACCTATTTATTAGCAGTTCCTTGCCGATTGACTCTCCATATGGCGGCCCTAGAGTACGGAGACTACAGGGAAGACTGTAAGGATGTGCGAATCAAGGATTTTCATTTCGAATCAAACTCGAATCGAATCTAAAAAAGAAGTTTCGATTTAGAGTCGAAAAAGTTGTTTAATTAAATCGATCCGAAGTTTAAAGATCAAGAATCAAATCAAATTCAAACTGAAACAAAGAAAAAAACATAAAATGGTGTGTTTCAAAACACATTTTCTGTATTAAAAAAACATAAAGCAGGATTTTTTTTTTAAATCTGATCTTGCTTAATATAAAAACAACGCTAAACGCTGTGCGCGCGTCTTTTAACCGGTCCCGAGCAACCAATTCGAAGAGGAACCAACGTCTATTCGAAATTCCGAATGTTCCGGGTCAAAGCAAAGATATCCGTCCCCGAATCGAATCACCCTGATTCGATTCGATACCGAACTATATCCCTAGAAGACGGCCGCTTCTTCGAGTACTTGGCTCGCCGTGGCCACAATTTCTCGTAGTAGCCTTGATGGCTAGTGGCCTCGTGCCCCTTGAAACCCTTCGAATAAATGTGGGTTAACTGGCATTGTAGGTGAAAAGAAATTTGTGTGAAAAAATTTGTGTGAAACTGTCTTTGCGAAATTACATTAGGCTAAACTTCAATATGTGAAAAACTTTGTGTGAACCGTCGTGTTACCGTGTCCAACGCCTCCATGTGTAGGACACTGTCCTACGGCAAATTCCACTGAGTATTCTGTTGTGGCTCCACACTTTAGCCGTCGGACATGCTGTGGTCGACACTTGCAAGCGTCCGACGCAGTGTGGTCGACACTTCAAAGCGTCAAACACAACACTTGCAAACGTAGGACAAACTGGTCTACGCCTTTAAGTGTCGCCCTTTCCTACACTTGGATTTGCAGTGTACAGTCAGCTCTGGTTAACTGTCCCGAGTTGGCACCTGGTTAGCTGTCCCAGAGACATCCCCACCACCACCGGCCGGCGAGGGATTACCGGCTATCCCCGGTCCCGGGTCGGCCGGGCATACCTGCCCGGCCTCTGGTTAGCTGTCCTCGGCGCCTCCCGGTTGTCGGGACAGCTAACCAGAGCTCACTGTACCTCCTGTACAAGCATTTCCTCCGTTGCAGTTTTGATTGCTATCAGTTTTAAAGCCGAATAGAGCTGGCGCTTGGGCTGGTGCAGCCACAAAACATGCCTGGTGCCGCGAAATTCGAATGCCTATAGCAAGAGACGCAATTCGCGGACAAAACTTTTCTTCCGCTTTACGAACGAATCGACACAACGTTTCAGGACTCAAGTTAAAATGTAGATTGAAGTGTCCACACTGAAAGCATTGGGTGTTTTACCGGTTTTATAATTAATTAAACTCCACAATGTATTTCAATCGGGGATTGGGACACCGACGAAACTGCCATATCTGTACCCTTCCGACGCTAAATGTAGTACAAGAAAACAAAAATTTTGACTGAAAATCTGCACATGACTTTCTCTAAAGGTGCTATGTTGTTACATAAGAGATATTTGCTGATTGGAAGTCGGTGCAAGTGGTAATTGAGCTTAACATCCGGGCGATTCCATGCCAAACCAACGAACTCTTGGAAATTCATCTCTTCGATTTGGATGAACCTTCTTTTAGAGGTAGGGGTCATTATGAAAAGATCCAATGTTAAAGAGTTTTGCGATATCTCTCCCCGTTTGGCTGTAATAACATAGCGAAGTTTTCACTTTGGTCAGAATCATGATATTTTCTTTATTTTTCGCCGTACTTACGTAAAAAGAGCTGGGGAACACGATGGAAATAGTTCCGAGACGATTGGGTGTAGTTTTGATGTCGGTTTCTCCATTTAACGTAATTTTTTTTTTTCAAAAAATCGATGTCTTTAATATAGCTCATCTTCGATTTCGATGTGACGTTCCTCACATGATCCTCTCACATATTGAAAGAAAATTCTAAAAGGATTTGGTCGGCCCACCGAAAGTTTTCATTTGCACAAGAAAAAATGTATCATTTTGGGCGTTTTTTCTTGAATTCCCGAACCAACTTTCTGAGTTTGCGTCCAAGCTTATGTCCCGCGAGGAAATGAATTTTGTCTTGTCGAGACGAATCCATTGATATATAGAAAAGTCATTTTGGACAATTTTGAAAATTTCACCCTATTTCAGTATGAGAGACACTATGGTAAATTTTCAATTTCGTCATGGGACGTTGTCCCACGATTTCTGCAATTTTAAGCACATTCGACGCTGATACAATTTTGTTCCCGTCTGGCGACACATTTTGTCGGACGCCTGCTGCAACATGTTCTTTCACTGGACAATTTGTCCCGCCTGGCGGACACAAAATTGCATCACCACCGGATGTACTTAAAATCGCATCATTCGTGGGGCCAAAAAAGTCCCATGACAGTTAGTGTGCAGTGTTTGAAAATAAATCGAACCGTGGCACCTGCGACACTGACGTACAGCAAATGAGTTGATTGTGTTGCTTCCAGCTTGGTGTACAAAACTCAGCATCAGTGCCTCACCTAAGAGACAGAAAAGCGACGACATGATGCTCCACGCACCGGCACGGATGTTGTTTCGGCCGCTGTGCTGCTTCCGCCGCTCGCCTACCTCCCGTCCATTCGCGTGTTTCATTTCGCTTCATCACAGGTCACGCAATCCGCAACAAAAGTGAGCAGCCAGAGTAATTCCAAACGCAATAGGGTGATTCCGTGCGCAGATGCCGTTTTAACCCCCTCATAAAGTCAAATAATGAATCTTGTTTGTTCGACCTGAATATCGTCTAGTTGGCATCAATTGAGTCCTCGGATGGGTGATTATCACCGTAGGTTGTCACTCGCGTTCCCCGGGGAAGTGCTTCTTAACTAGACCACATAGGATGTTGAAATTTGTTTTGAGCTCGCCCCTTGGGGTCCTTTACCACCCCCAATCTTGAGTTTTGAGCTGCCACTTCTGAATCGGCCTTAATAATATTGAGAAGTGGTCAAAAAGTGAACTCCGTCCACTTCCCCCGCACCAAGTCGATTTCGAAAAGTGGTGTTTAACAACCTCCTGCGAGATGAAAGCAGACTTTCTTCTGACCAACATGAAAGAAAAAGTATGTGGGGTCACATCATCGGCCACGGTGACTTTCTGAAAGCAACAAGCGTGAAACAGCACGTCATCAAAATTGTTCCCCCAGTTTTCATGTGAACTCCGTCCACAGTGCTTATTTTGGCACCAAAATCGCTAGAATAGCTTTAATAACACGACCCGACTCGGGAATTGTGCATCTTTCAGTTCTCCATCCGCCACCACCAAAATCAGCTGGCTGGTGTTGCGCGAAGGGAGTCCAAGTGGAATTTAGTCTTCGATTCCGCTGCGTATGCACTGTAAAAAATTTTGACACGAAATTTCGTGTTGTGGCTAGTGAAACGCCCCTTCTTAGTTATACTTTAAATGAATTTCGTGTGCCAGTGGCAATGAAATTTCGTTCGCCATGGCACACGAAATTTTGATGGCCACTGGCGATCAGAAGGCTTACACTGAGAAAACCTTACAAACTATTTTGGGCCTTACAAAGAAAAGTAGTTTGTATAACAAAGTATTTTGAGCATACATAAGCTTACAAAGTAAATACTTCGTAATTTACGAACTATTTCTTCGTATAACAAAGTATTTTAGTTTGTTATATGTATGCTCATAATATTTCGTAAGGTTTTAAGAGTGTTCTTTCCTACGCCAAATGGCAATTTTTGAGTCGTGGCGCTGGAAAGGATGCTCGGAACCAATATTGTGAACTTTCAAGTTGTGGCGAGGAGAATTCGTCTCGGGCCGATGAAAAAAGCGGCACGAGCGGTCGGCATAGAACCCGAAACTTCAACTTGGATGTCTTGTGCCCTGACCCCTCGGCCACCGCACCACTGCTTGGCAGAGCGCTCGACGGAGCTTCATCATGGACTCGCGAGGACTAGTCTGGCCACCACCAGGTGTGGCGAAGCAAAGCATGCTTCCCTTAGCCACAAATTGAAATTTCATAACTGTCGTCTGGGTAGGATGCCTTTTCAGTGCCACACCTATGATTTTTCTTTGCCAAGGGGCTGTCAAATAGTCTATTCTAGTCCTCGCGAGTGAAGAACAAGAAGAAGCACAAAACCGGAAATCGGGCGGAATATGGTGGATAGGAGTGGGGGAAGCCGGGTCGCGTCGCGAGCGCCATCTTTGGGGACTTTCGGAAGGCGTTTGGCGCGTATACTATCCGCATAACGTTAAATATCGTATTGTGATCCGCTGACTAAGGTATGTACACATATTATTTATTTCTAAGACGAAATATAGTGGTCCTTGTGTATTTCTGACAATATTTCTGTGCAATAAGACGAATATGGCAAAAAGTGAACAACATAACCTCACCAACCGGCCGTGTCGCCCTTTGTTTACGTCTGAAATCAATGTTTTATGAAGTGACAAGCCAAAGAAATTACTTTTGTTGGTTTTAAATGTTATTAGAAACTGTCAGAAAGTGTCACTTGTCTGTATTTCTCATTGAGATTGAAATTATGTCAATACCCTTCGATGACACCTGCTCCGATACCTAGACCCACAACACTCCAGTCTCCTGTGCTTTTACACCACTCATTTTACTTCATTTCTTTGCAGTTGCTTGAATAAAATAATGGAAACACTGGTGACTCCCACCAAAAAAGGCACAATTGAGGCAGAAGTGGTATCCACAGACAAAAAATGGAAAGTTTCCGATGTACGTACATATTTAACAAGAAAAAAAATATCTGCATGTCATTAATCCTGTTTCTTATATGTCTCCTTTTTCTTTACAGTTGGATGTCACACCTCACAGGCCATTCCCACAAGGAGCAGTCCCAAAAGTTAGAGCCTGTTATAATGCCATTTCATGTCTATTATTGCAATGGTGGTTACTTAAAATTTGTGTCCTTCTTTTCTTTTATCTTGTAGTGGAAGAATCATATGGCACCCGTTGAACCACTGTACCCTCTGCATCCTTGCATTACGAAAACTGATTGGATGGGCTTACCCCACTCTCATGGTGGTCTAGTAAATATGGGAAACACATGCTTCATGAATGCTGTTCTTCAGGTGAGATATTTAATTAGTAATCTTTCAGTACAAATGACTAAATTTGCTGTGGTTTTTACTTTTTGTGAGCACTTTATTGCAGGCTCTCTTCCATGTACCTCTATTTGTTAAGTGGTTGAACAGTCATAAGAAGTGTGGTGTTGTAATGTGCATCACATGCAGGTTGCTGATGTTACATAATCAGTTAGCAAACAAAAAATTTCAAATATTGAAACCAAATCTGTTTGCGGCCGTATTTAAAGGTAATTTGTTGTTCTTCATGTTAAGCTACTCACTCACATTCAAAATTTTTTATGCCTGTACCCTTTGTAAACTGTGGCGTGTTTCAGCTTTCGCTCCAGAGCTGATGAAAGGGGAACAAGAGGATGCGGAGGAATTCTTTGGAAGGCTCTTGGCAGCACTGGAGTCTGAATTCATTCAACGCAACAAAATTAATATGAAAAGGTTGTAGTAACACGTTTTGTTGATACACTCTCACAACAAACTAAATTTATTCTCATTCTTTGCCTTCAGACTGGATTACCTTACTCAACTTACAACTCCAAACAACAGGATGTTTTTGGGCTGGACAAAAACTCTGAGTAAGCATCAATCATGCCATTTCATGAATTAATTTTCTTCCTAATCTGATATTTTTCCCCAGATACTTGCAACAATTGTAAATGTCAGTCTACAAAGTATGATCCATTTTTCCACTTGTTACTTGTCCCAACCTTTGAGAATTTGTTACCTGGGGCTCAAGCTCAGTCTGTGCAGGGTTTGCTTAACATGTATTTCAAACCGCATGAAGTAAAGTTGGATTGTAAGTGTAAGCATGACACTGCCACTTGCTTGTATAGTATGTATAAGACTCCTGCAGTCCTCTTTCTACAGGTGAAAAGGTCCGTGCTAAATTGCTGAACTGTAATGTTTGTTTTTGCTCTACCCGTTCACATGATGCCTCTTTTTTGGCTGAGCGATAGCGAAGCCCTTGCCGTGTTTGGGCGCGCTGAAAAGTGACTGGTCGTGCGTCTGTCTGTCTGTCTGTCTGTGAGTCTGTTTGTACTCACCAACGATTCTCAGCAACTACAGTGGCTATAGTTTCAAGATTTCGTATTTAACGTCGCCTTAGTACCCCTCAACACGAGTTTGTTTCAAATCGTTGTTTAGTATCGTTTGAAATATTCAAAACATACTTTTGAATCAGGTTATTAGCATGGTTAGGTTGGCAGCACTCAGCACTCACGAATTTCTCATACCTGCGGCCGCGGCTCTCAAATACGGGACAGAAGCAAATAAGCAAATAAAACAAAATAACGAGCAGAAGGGTTTGGAAATGAGATCGGCCATAGTTTTTCCACATTCTAGAATGATTAAAACCCTTTTAGAGTATCAACACAGCGAAATATGGAGAATGGCAGTGAAAATGATTTACGTGTTTCGTTCCCCTCTCCCCCCTCCCCCTTTCGAGGGGAATCTTCTTCAGGTCAGTGCACTTTGACAGAGCAGTGTAAAAAGAATGTTTTTATTTTGACCTTTTGTATTGTGGGCATCTACTTGTTTCATTTTCTATAGTGTCATCCTCTTTTTTAAATTTTCATAGTAGAGGAAATCAGGGAAATGCATAAATAACTTGTGTTGACATTAGCAGGCATACTTAGTTTGGACTCGAGAAATACATTCTATTGCAATGCTGCAGGCTGACAAGAGTGCCAAAGTACTAACATGTGTTTATTAATAGAATCAATGTATGGTTGTGTATATTTAATCCTAATAGAGTTTGAATTGATATTGGGTTCAAAGAGACGACTCAGGTTTTGAGCGGTGAGTGAATTAGTGAATGGATTTAATGAGACGATTCCTTTCACTTCACTGAAGTTAATATAACTGGTACTACTCAGTATTGCATACCTGAGTAAGATAAATTGTGTCGGTTCATTAAGCCTTGGGTAGCCTTGGCATTGGACTCTATGAGACGAATCACTGGATTTGACAATAATTGGTCCCCGTTAACAGGTTCAGATCAACCTACCCTAAACTGACTCTCTTAATATTAACTGTGATAACGTATGCCAATCAATATTGTTTTATTCACTGGTTCACAATGAAAGAATGACAAAATGTTTCATAGATATTACTTATAAAATTGAGAATTCATTAGTTAAGAAAAAAGAGATATCGAATAGTGACCCAATCATACGAGTAACCAATTAAGCGATTCAATGCTGGCAATTGAATGTTACTCGACTGAGGGATTCACATTGGTGTGGCATCAGGGAATTGGTGATGACAGTGGGTGCTTCATGAAGACAGTGTAGGAATGTACAGAAATTGAGTCTAGATAGTTGTTTGTAGATTTCAGTGTACTGGTCACAAAAGCTACATTTATTTCAATGCCAAACCTACACTTTCACCTAGAGCTACGCAATTTGGGGCGAAACTTTCTAATTTGAGAGTCATGCGTTTCCCTGCAGTTTTCAGTGCGCTGACTTCAATATTGACTTCTAAATAGTCTCCAGACCCAAAATTTAACCGATTTTGGGTCAATTTTTTTAAATTGAATTCCACATTGATTCTTGCAGTTTTTTGAGTGCTGATAGCAAAAATCCCTTCCATTTTGACAACAGACTTATATTTTCATCCGAAACGAGGTCAGTTTGGACCAAAATTTTCAAGTCGAGTCTTATATTGTTTTCTGCAGTTTTTGGTGTGCTGAACTCAAAAATGACTTCCAAAATTTTCCCAGACTCACACTTACCCGAATTTTAACCAATTTTGGACCAAAATTTTTAAATCGAGTTTGACATTGATCCCAGCAGTTTTTGGTGTGCTGATAACGAAAATCACTCTCATTTCGACTCCAGACTTATATTTTCATCCCAAATTAGGTCATTTTGGACCAAAATTTTCAAGTCGAGTTTAATATTGTTTCCTGCAGTTTTTGGTGTGCTGAACTCAAAAATGACCTTCAAACTTTTCCCAGACTCACATTTAACCGAATTTTAACCAATTTTGGACCAAAATTTTTAAATCGAGTTTGGCATTGATCCCAGCAGTTTTTGGTGTTCTGATAACGAAAATCACTTCCATTTGTACCCCTGGTCCAAAGTTCACTCAATATGAGTCCTTAAGATGCACATTTCTTCTTCTCAAGCAAAGTCCAAAGTGCACAAACCATGTCAATTCGCATCGCTCAGCCACACTACGCGCCCAGACTAAACGGCGCGTACCCCTAGTTAGGTTTCCTCATTTAGGAACGAAAAATTGCCACCCTGTTAAAATATGTAGTGAGGTAACACTGCCAGGGCACTCAGACAAATATTCTCTCAACTCTGTGGTGGTTCACAAGGGGCCATCAATGGGCGAAGGCCATTATGTGACAGTGGCCCAGTGTCCTAACAATGATGTCAATATGTTCGATGACTCACAAGTGAGTTCACAGATGTATGTGAGATACAGTATCAAAGTATAAATCTTAAGTTATTCCCATGCTCTTTTTTCTCATTCCAGGTATATCGTTCTTCTTTTAATAATAAGGAGAACCAGGAAGGTTGTTACCTACTTTTCTACACCAACAAGTCCCAACCAACTACGACTGTTACCAGCATACTCAGACCGCAGCAGCAGGCAAATAAAGTTGAACCCAAGGTGCATCATAATTTTCTGTCTAATTCCAATAGTCTGTTTTATCCATACTAGCATTTTCAGGCAAAAAAAATGCCAGCAACATAAGTAGTACCTCTTTAGCCAATGTAGCATTTTATTTTTCTGATTATGTAATTTGTTTGTGTGGAACATGTTTGTTTTTTCCAGGCTAGGTTTCCATTAGTGAAACAGGTCAGTATTCTGAAGCGGAAACAACCTCTTGACCCGAAGGTACTTAAATAATTTTAACCATTAAATTGTTCCTATAATTTTTGGAAGGTCATTATCATTTCCTGCAACAATTTTTATTTCAGACTGGCCCACCTCAATCTCACCTCAATCCACCTGAGAGCACACTTCAATGTAAGCAGTTGAGGAGAGAGGAACCAAAGGTAAATAAAAAAATTAATTATAATTATAGATTTCTTTCAGTGCCTTGGCACAGAGAGGCCATATGAAGATTTCCTGCCTTTTTTTCTCTCAGTTACGTGACCATGCTGCAATGGCTGAAACCAAGCAACTGACACCTGTTAAGAAGACGGTAAAGCCCCTGTTTATCAAAAAATCGAAGAGAGAGCAACCAAAGGCATGTCAGAATTTTTTGAAAATGTCTTCCTTTGTTTTGTGGCACATAACAGTCTGTTAAACTGCTAATTTGTCACCCTTTTCAGACTCATTCGTACCAGTCTTCTAATGACTATACTGTGATGAAGAATATTGTTAGTCCTCTACACATTCTTAAGTCACGAAGAAAAGAACCAAAGGTACCTGATAACTTTTTGAATCTGTCTTGAAGCTTATATATGTGGCATGTAAGGTCCTGTTATGTAATTGCTCTTTCATTACACATTTCAGACTCACTCATCTCAGTCCTCTCATGACTATGTTATAAAAAAGGAAACCGAACAGAAAAGGAATGTCAGCCCACTTCTTAGGAAGAAAACAAAAAAACTTTTACCAAAGGTATTTGCCTGTTATTATTTTTGTAAGTTTTTGTATGAGTATTTAAAAGTATTCATTACATCATTTTCTAAACGATACACTCACAGATCCATTTGAGCCAGTCATCTAATGAGAATGAGACACAGAAAGCCATCCTCAAGGCAGATAATGTGAATGTAGCAATGCAACCTGGTGTAAGCATTTGTTAATTTCCATAAATTTTATATTTTTCATTGTCTTTTTTCCATTACTGACATTGACTTCTTTTTTGGTATATTTCCAGAGTGATGCATCTCCTTTCAATGTGCCCCCTGAAGATGACTTTAATCCACCTGTAAGTTTTTTTTTCTTTCCTTTTTTTTTGTACTGACAGCTTACAATTATTAAACTTGTATTTTCTTATGCTTTTTTTATTGATTGATTTGTTAAGGTGTTCTCAACACAAAATATGCCTGAGAGTGAACCTCACAAAAGACAGTTGTTTCATTCTCCTGATAAGACCTTGAATATCACTGGAAGTAACAGTGCATATGAAACAGATTCTTCAAACAAAGTGAGCGCTGATTGCATGGCCACTGTCTCATTTTCTTTCATGCAAAGGGCGCTTGCATTCATCTTTTTAACATCCCATCTGTACAGACTTTGGTGCCCATAACTCTACCTTCAAAGATCATCGCTAAGAACAAAAAGGAGGACCTTCAAGATTTTCTGAAAAGTGTACAACTCTCAAGGGCAGGACGCAAGGCTGAACTAGTCGCCAGGTATGTTGGTAAGACTGCCCTATGCCTTTTTATGTCTCCTTCTCATTTGGAATTTCATCTAGGGTTCAGGGATTCTACAAGGCTCATCCCAACTGTCAGCGGAGAATCATTCCCAAAATGGTTCTTGAAACATCAAAGCGCCTAAAGGTATGCACTAAATCTTTCATTGCCTGTGTTTGCACATTTTCAGTTGCTATGTTTTTCAGAACGTTATATGTTTATGTCAATTTCAGCAGACATGTAGTCAGGCTGTCGCTGCCTTTCCATCTGATGGCTGGGAACCCTTTCCAACCAACGATATCCCGACGTCATTCAATTTTGGAAGGATATACGATTATTTGGTGGAAAGTGCTCCCCAGTATATCCCAGCTGAGCAAACTGATCTGAATACTTCTATCCCAGATGTTGATATGGATTCAGAAGACGAACTTGATCTGGAACTGTCTGTGCGGCCTAATGGTAATTTAAATATTGAAACAATACCCAATTACCTACTACTGGTTTCAATGTCAGAGGTCTACAGTTAAATAAAATTTTATGGTTTGGCTGCAGGTGTTCCTGCCCACTGGAAGACTATTACAGACTTCGAAGAGCACGTAAAGGAGGATGAAGAATTTAAAGACCCATTCGATGAAGAAAGAGGGTTTATTCATGATGTGAAAAAGCTGAGGCAGGGCTTTAAATTCTTGAAGAGCAAACATGCCAGAAATATCAGAGATGTTCTTAAAGGCAATACCTACTTTGTGCGATGTGACATGAAAGCATCAATGGAGAAGGTGTTCTACAGGGTCAAAATTGCTGTATCAGTTCCTTCTGGCAATATCAAACTCTGTGAATGCGAATGTAAAGGCAAGTCCTTGCGTCGCTGTTGTCACATAAGTGGCCTGTTGCTTCTGGTTTGGTGCCATGTAAGACTTAATGGCTATCAAGGTAAGTCATTTAATTTTCTTTTTTGCCTTACAATCGAATTTAGAATGGTGGTCACTCCTTGCCAGATATCTCTCACTGCATCACAACTGGCTGATCGATAATTGAATCTGTGTCCTGCTGCTCTGCTAAAAATATTTCAAGGGTGTATTATTTTTATCTTCTCACAGTTTCTCTTTTCAAATTCAGAAATCTTAATTCATAACGTTTCTTAACCTAATTGTTTAGAGGAACTGTAGCATCATTTTCCAAACGAGAGTTAAAGTATGATGCCATCATCTTCATTCCTAACTTACATCCACCTCATGATCTCGACATAATTACAAGGAGACAGCATGCACTGATTTCCAAATTTAAATCCTGTGTCTGAAACTTTGCCAGTCTCCTCAGACTGTATTGGTCTTACATCCCACCTCAGAGGCTGCATTTCTTTGTGTGCCTTTTCACTCCACCTACTTTTCCACTTCGCCAACTCTCATTATGCAGTGTAGTTCAGCCAGTCGAATGCGATTGTGACTAACACTTTGCTACTAATATGTCATCTTCTTATTTCCCTTCATTTCTCCACTAATAAATAAGGGTGACTTTGTGCATGAGCATGACTTTAAAAAAATGTAATTCCACTGCATGTTGTAGAATAAGGACTAACAAGAACTAACAATATAATACAACTTATTTTAATTTTTTTGGGAATTTAGGTACCCATGAGTGTAGCAGAATGTAGGTAAATATTGTTGGGTTTGTTGAATTGTAGAATTACTCCATATTGTGTACTTTGTAAAGTTTATGTGTTTATTTGTAAATGTGTTTATTTCATTTTTTAGTTGGGACTAATTAGTACTGATAAATGCATGCTTTCTTTCTACCTTTTTTTTCGTTACTCTTTTCAGCTGCTTAATTGTAATGCTTGTAGATTTTCAATAAAAGCTGCCATTGAATCAATGTTGTCAATTTTGTTTTATTGCTGCTAACTCTTCAAGGTATGACACAATAATCACAACACAATGGAACTTAGCACATTGCAAGAAAATTTGTGAACATATTTATTATTCATCAGTATCCACATTGGTTCAAAAATTACAACATCCTCTAATTGACCCGATTGCAAAATAAACATAATCAGTCATCATATTTGGAGCGACGCTTCTTGGTTCTTGACTTGATGGCACGATTGGCGAAGTTTGACAGGTAAGCCGCTACCAGAACTAGGTCATCCATCACTCCCCTCATACTCAAGGGAATTGTGAACCTCAGTAGTCTAAAATCCTTGATTTTCCCAATCGCATGCTCAACATATATTCTTGACTGAGAAATGGCTGAGTTGTACAGTTGTTTTTGAGCTGTCATCGCCGTCACACCTTTCATACTTGGTGGTTTCACTGTCTTGACACCAAGTTTGATCAGATCAGAAGCTACATTGAAACCTCTGTCACACATGACAGCATCACCAGGTTCTAACAGTTCCAACAGGCCACTTTGAATCATAATGTCTTTGTCACTTTTGCTGCCTTCGAAACCTTCACTGACAAACATAAGTGCACCATAACATGAGATGCCAACAACATATTTGAATGTGTTGGAATGTTTGTATTTTGAAAACGTATTATTCTGCTGCTGCGCATTGGAAGGTGTCTGGGTCCTGAATTCAACTCCATCAATAATTATTCTGACATCGGGAAAAGCCTTGAAAGCTGCAGGCCTGTTCTCCTGCTGTTGTTCTCGAGTCACAAACATAGCTCCTTCGAGGCTCTTGAAGGTTTTGGCAACTTTTCGTAGAACAGCGAAGAAAATGAAACCCGCCCAAGCCTTGCTGATGCCAAACTGGTATGCCAAGTCTCTTAAAGGAGTGCCTCTTCGCATCCTCACAAGCATCAGCAATAATCTGCTTTTCGGAGACAATTTGGGTGGTGTTGTTGGTATCTTCTTCGGAGTTGTCATATCGTAGAGGTACTTGAGGCGCATCAGACCATTTTTACCATCAAGTAACAGGTATAAAGCCTCAAAATTAAATTTGGATAGACCAGTGAAAAATCTGAAGTCCTCTTCACTCATATTCTCATTCCATAGCTCATATGAAATCATGCACCGTATGTAGACTATCCTTGAAGCACACAGCTGTCTCTTCCTGAAACACAGATGAAAAATGATTTTACAAAACATGGAATGGGAACACAATAAGTACTCTGACAATGACAAAGGTCAAATAATCATATACATTAGGGTATACGACCAAAATGTGAATTAAAAACCAGGAAAACAAAGCATTTCAATTGAAAAAAAAAAAAAGATTCTAAAAAAAAGACTTTTCATTTAAGGGAAGGCCCCAACACAATAGAAATATGTACCCTCATTCATACAAAATGTAACAGGTAATGACCATTATAATCTTTTACTTCCAGCTCCAACATGTACTTCAGTCCCCAGCTACTGGCGTAAAGGGTCACTGAAGACAAATCCTGGACGCATAAAGGAAAACAGGTATGACTCTGTCAAAGTAAATGTTGAGCGGAGAGCCAACTTCGACACTAGGCCAACACAAGACCAGGTTACAGTTGCAAGTCAAGGGGACTTGAGCAGTTTTGTGGCCTTTCTGTCTGGTAATCCCTACAAGACATTGTGGGAGATGCACATTCCTCTCATATATGATGACTACCCTTTCGAGGACCTGACAAGTCTTGACAAGAAGATCCTAAAATACTTATCACACAAATTTTTGAAAAGTTTGGCAGTGGTTGATACAAACAGAGGAGTGGTGGGAGAACTTTTTACAGAAACAAATCATAAGATGACAGTTTTTGAATTTTTAGAGACTGCTGGGCAAGGTGAGAACCCTACCTGGCTGGCAGCCAGAGGGCTAAGGCTCACTGCATCAACGGTGTACAAAGTGCTGCATTTCAAAACTGTGAAAGCTCGAAGGTCATTTTTAAGAAACCATTTGTGGGGCATGAAGCAACAAGATGACCGAGAGCCATCAAAAGGAGAACCACTTGCCATTGCCCACGGAAAAGCCTATGAGAAGAAAGGAATACAGAAGTACCTGAACTATAGGTGTACATTTGACAGTACAGTGTCTGTGGATGACACCATTGGCCTAACAATGCGTGAAGACTATCCTGAATTTGGATGCAGCCCAGATGGACTTGTATATTCAAATTACAATGCACCCCGCCTCCTAGAGATCAAGTGCCCTTACAGTCTGAGGTTTGCTCATCCAGAAGATTACGAAGACGCTCTGACAGACCGTCAAAAAAGTACATTCTACCTGGAGAAAACTGCTGATGGTGACATTGTTCTGAAAAAAGAACATGCCTATTATTACCAAATTCAGTTCTCCCTGGGCATCCTCGGTTTGGACTATGCAGACCTTGTAATATACACATTTAAAGGAATTTTGGTCATTCCCATCCAATTTGACCCAGATTGGTGGACTGAAAACGCAGAAAAGCTGAAATGCATCCACCATCAGTTACTGGTGCCTGAATATTTTCTGCAGCGAACTCCTCGCAATCTTCTGCCATTTGAGTTCAACATAGATGATGACATCTTAGATACCCCTAAAAAAGGAGTGAATGATTCTTGTGGGGAAGAGGAAGGTTCAGGAGACATTAGTGACTTAATTGATACCCATTCCCTTATATTTGATGAAGATGACCCAGATGAAGTCTACTCTGAACTCTATGGTGATCCTGACGAACTCCAACATCAACAAGAAGATGACCCAGATGAAATTGAAGTCTTAAGTGACCACAGTGAACACTCAAATGGCATGGATGAACTCGAAGATCAAGAGGACCAAGATGAAATTGTGTTCTTAAGTGACCTCAATGAAGATTTCGAGGTTTCCTTCGATGAGGAAGGTGATTGAGTGACAACAATAGTGTCGCATATAGTGTTTCCTATGATGATGAAGGTAACGAGTACTTTTAAATGTCAACCTCATTGAAACACTTGAGGCAAGAAGTTTGTCTTTTAACTTTTAAATGCTATATCCTTTGGTTTTGTTTTTAAACTTTAAAAGGCTGTATCCTGTTGTTTTTATCTCAAATTTAGAAATACTCATTTGTCCTAGTCTGTGATACTGTTTCTTCCAAAGATGAAAGTAACATTTAATTTTAGACTGGAACTTAATAGTTTTTAAGTTTTTTCTTTTGCATCTGATTGTGATAATTGCAATGTTATTGTGATTTTAAGTCAATGATGGTTGTGCTTATTTTAAGGCTGTTTAAGAGTATTTTTAGTACTGATGAAAAAAATTGAGTTGCTCAGGCTCTTAATGTGACTGTTAATGTTCTATTACTTACCATTGTGTTTGTGTCTGTCTCCCTTCTTTTCTTGTTTGGTATGTCTGCTTCATCCTCTTTTGATTCTGCACCCTGCAAAGAAAAGTCATTGTGTGAGAATTTTAAATAATATTTCTGTTCATAAATTTGTAAGGCAGTGCAGAGTTAATGATGAGCATCTGTAAAGTGCAGTGAAGAAGTGTAGGAAACATACCGTTTCAGTAGAATCCACTCTACATCTTTTTCTCTTATGTATAATAAATGGCTCTTCTGCCATATCATCCTCAGAGCATCCAATCTCCTGCTGCAATAATTAATGCAAAAAAAATTAACTGTTGTGGCAATGTGGATTTGGTTGAGCCTTGCACTGAACATTACCTATTACTTTACTCACATTGTTGTTAATTGTTTGGAAAGATTCTGAGACCCACTTCTTACATGTAGACATAGCTCTCTTCTTAGCCTTTCTATTATGCTGAATGGAAAAACCCGATGGTCTTCATTAAGGTGTCCAAAAAAAAAGCATTTCATAAAAATTGGTGAATATTAAGATGACATACCTTTGGAGTTGTTGGTTGACATGCATTAATTTTTTCATATAGCACCATGCAGGCATCACTCTTCAAGTTCCCACTCAGTAGTGATCCATAACTCATATTCGGGTCATTCCATATAAGATTTACACGGATCTGGGCGACCATTGACGATTTCGACCAAATTTGGCACGAAGGTAGCCCTAGGGGTCAGGAACATGCCCATAAATTTTTAGGTCGATATCTCAAGTGGTTTGGTCAGAATCGGCATTTTAATTTTTTACTCTTAAAAAATTTGTAATTTCTTCAAAATGGCTCTAAAAGGCCATTTTTTGTCGGATTTTCATGCGGTAAAGCTATTCCGACGTAAAATGCGACGAGGAATCGGAATCTGCCCTCAGATTTGGTCTAGCGTGATTACCAGGGGAGTAAATTGTGAAAAACATGAAAATGAAGCCTTATTTCACGAGCCTGTCTACCCTAGTAGAAAATCCAAATCTGCACTTCCGAACAGGCTAAATTGTAGTTCATTTCATGGGCTTTCCATATCTGTATTCAAAAATAGTGGGTGTGGCCCTCCCTTAGGAGCTGTAGGCCGCAATAAACAACTCTGCACTCAAATTTTGACTAAATAAAATACACATTTTCGAGCTTTGAAGCTCAGGGGTTTGAGCTACACTCGTGCCGCTTAAACCATTCAAAAGGGAATTTTGAGACGAATCCAACGGTACCAATATGAGCCCGATCGGGTAAGTGGATCCCAAACTGCGCCCAAATGCCGCTAAAATTCAAAATTTGCACTAGATGTTTTTCCAATTAAGAAAGTAAGTAAACGGCAGCATTTTAACTTGTCAAATGTGTACTCATTTACTCAAAATTTCATAAGCTTTCGATTGGTATATAGAAAAATTTGGGGTTTCGTCCTCTAAACACAAGATTTCTCAATTTTACTCAAGCTATGCACGCGAATCGGCTCAGACGCCCCGTGCAGGTAGGCAGCCCATCCGGCGCGCAGGCTTTCCGTCTGTTTGGGGTTGTTTGGCTGTACCCGCCCCATCCCTCGCCGGACCCCGCCCCACGCCCCACTCGCCCCTCTCCGGACCCCACCCCGCCCAACCCCTCACCCCACCCCACCCCCTCCCCCCACCCCACCCCCTCACCCCACCCCACCCTACCCCCCACCCCCCCGCCCCCCCCACCCCGCCACCGCACTCCGCACCTTCAACTCACTTCGGCGTTTAGGCTTCCGCGTCCATCTCCCGGCCGGCAGTCTCTTGGAGTGTCTAGCTTTGTTGTTGCTTGTCGATATTGTTTTCATCAACATATAAAAATTTCAACTAGCGTACCTCGTCTGGAGACCAGCAGCAGGCAGTACCGTCATGGATCGAGGTATGTGTCTGTTATACCTCTACTCCTAGGTTATGGTGTCTTTGTTGTTGTTTTGTCTCAGTGATTTTCTTTGCTTTTTTGGGCTCTTTCCGTCTCATTGAATTTTAATAAGCTCTCTTTGGTCTTAAGGGGGGACCCTGGTGAAAAAATAGCCAAAATTCCAAAATATAGTATTTTCAAAGTTCATAGATAAAAATGTGTATAGAAGGTTTCAGATTCAACAGGTTGAACACCTTTAAGCTAAGTGGGTAGTTTCTTTATCATTTGGAAGGAAATAACATAGAGATCAGTTGTCGTTGGCTTCTATGCTCAACTTCACAGCTTTGCTCAGTCAACAAAAAATTTTGTCGTAGAAAGACTTTCTGCGTTCCTGGTTGACACCTACATGAGTCGTCTTGCATGAACTCTATTCATTGATGACTTGTCGACAAATTTTAGTGACGGAATCTTGATATCAGCCCTACTTTTTTTAAAACACACCTATAAGCTTGAAAAAGGAGATTCTGTCACTAAAATTTGTCGACAAGTCATCAAGGAACAGAGTTCATGCAAGGTGACTCATGTAGGTGTCAACCAGGAACGCAGAAAGTCTTTCTACGACAAAATTTTTTGTCGACTGAGCAAAGCTGTGAAGTTGAGCATGGAAGCCAACGACAACTGATCTCTATGTTATTTCCTTCCAAATGATAAAGAAACTACCCACTTAGCTTAAAGGTGTTCAACCTGTTGAATCTGAAACCTTCTATACACATTTTTATCTATGAACTTTGAAAATACTATTTTTTGGAATTTTGGCTATTTTTTCACCAGGGTCCCCCCTTAAGACCAAAGAGAGCTTATTAAAATTCAATGAGATGGAAAGAGCCCAAAAAAGCAAAGAAAATCACTGAGACAAAACAACAACAAAGACACCATAACCTAGGAGTAGAGGTGTAAACAGACACATACCTCGATCCATGACGGTACTGCCTGCTGCTGGTCTCCAGACGAGGTACGCTAGTTGAAATTTTTATATGTTGTTGAAAACAATATCGACAAGCAACAACAAAGCTAGACACTCCAAGAGACTCCCGGGCCCGGGAGATGGACGCGGAAGCCTAAACGCCGAAGTGAGTTGAAGGTGCGGAGTGCGGTGGCGGGGTGGGGGTGGGGCGGGGTAGGGTGGGGTGGGGTGAGGGGGGGGGGTGGGGTGAGGGGGTTGGGCGGGGTGGGGTCCGGAGGGGGGCGAGTGGGGCGTGGGGGGGGGTCCGGCGAGGGATGGGGCGGGTACAGCCAAAAAACCCCAAACAGACGGAAAGCCTGCGCGCCGGATGGGCTGCCTACCTGCACGGGGCGTCTGAGCCGATTCGCGTGCATAGCTTGAGTAAAATTGAGAAATCTTGTGTTTAGAGGACGAAACCCAACTTTTTCTATATACCAATCGAAAGCTTATGAAATTTTGAGTAAATGAGTACACATTTGACAAGTTAAAATGCTGCCGTTTACTTACTTTCTTAATTGGAAAAACATCTAGTGCAAATTTTGAATTTTAGCGGCATTTGGGCGCAGTTTGGGATCCACTTACCCGATCGGGCTCATATTGGTACCGTTGGATTCGTCTCAAAATTCCCTTTTGAATGGTTTAAGCGGCACGAGTGTAGCTCAAACCCCTGAGCTTCAAAGCTCAAAAATGTGTATCTTATTTAGTCAAATTTTGAGTGCAGAGTTGTTTATTGCGGCCTACAGCTCCTAAGGGAGGGCCACACCCACTATTTTTGAATACAGATATGGAAAGCCCATGAAATGAACTACAATTTAGCCTGTTCGGAAGTGCAGATTTGGATTTTCTACTAGGGTAGACAGGCTCGTGAAATAAGGCTTCATTTTCATGTTTTTCGCAATTTACTCCCCTGGTAATCACGCTAGACCAAATCTGAGGGCAGATTCGGATTCCTCGTCGCATTTTACGTCGGAATAGCTTTACCGCATGAAAATCCGACAAAAAATGGCCTTTTAGAGCCATTTTGAAGAAATTACAAATTTTTTAAGAGTAAAAAATTAAAATGCCGATTCTGATCAAACCACTTGAGATATCGACCTAAAAATTTATGGGCATGTTCCTGACCCCTAGGGCTACCTTCGTGCCAAATTTGGTCGAAATCGTCAATGGTCGCCAAGATCCGTGTAAATCTTATATGGAATGACCCATTCTTCACCTGCAAGTACAAATCATGAGACTGTATGGGTGGAGAACACTTCACTTTGAACTTGAAAACATTATAAAACATTAAAATTTTAGTTACTCTTGCATCGTTGCACTGCACCAAGGAACCAGTTTTACATTTCAATACACAGGTATAGTGGGTTGGTTGACGGTTACTTTCAGAATGAACAACAGAAGACAGTTGATAATTTACATTTGATACAGATAGTTTATCACTAATGGTCACCACTCTTTGCTCATTCCCCTCATTAAGTTCAGTTGGGCTGGAAACATTATTATTATTATTATTAATGACGATCACACATACATGATCTCAGAATTAATTTGTATCACTTGCTTACCGTAAAAAGTGCAGACATAAGACAGGAGGGGTTTCACTAAGCTCAGCACAGTACACAGCCTCATTCTGGTGGCATTCTGGACATCTAGATTTCTCAACGGTTCCTATTAAATAACTCTCTAAGGCCTCTTGCACAGTCTCCACCTCTTTTTCTAGAGGTATTTCCAACACATGAAAAGGTTCTAAATGAGTTTCACTGAATTCACAATTCAGACAGGTTCCTGCATTTAAAAAATACAGGTAAGTAACCTTTGGAAAACATATTACAGCATTGAATCAATAATTATTGATTACCAGTAACTGTTTGTGAGCCGCCGAATAACTCCTCAACTTTTGACTCCTTCCCAGTTCCAGACACCGTCCTGAAATAATCAAGAATTTAATTACATTAGAGATTGAATTTAACTTAAAACCCTTCTTATTTAAAACACATCTTACAACATTGACCTTTGCGCATCTTGAAGTTTGGAGAGAAGGAGAGCAAAGAAATCAAAGACATCATTCACTGCATCACCACAGCACTCTTCATATAATTCTGGTGACACAAAAATTAGTCCCACACTACAGAACACAAAGTTACAAGGAGTTTAATGTTGAGAAATGAGCAATCTCGCCCTGGTGTGATCTCCGCCTTGTATCACTTGGAATCTCTGCCTGGCAGTGCAGGTGCCTGTCCAGTGTCTTTCGTCCGTTTCCGGGGGCTCTCTGTGTGTGTACCTTGTGTGAGAAGGACGTATTAAATCTTGATCCTAAAGTTCATCGTGTTTCATCTGTTATTCTAAATCCCCAAACCTGATATCACAACAGGTTATGGGCCCAGTAGTATTCTGCTTAAATATCAAGTGAAAAATAGTTTTTCTTCGTGAAAAAAAAAAAAAAAAAAATCAAATTCAACTGTGGTTTGTGTGATACGAAAACTTAAAACTGTAAGTACATGTGCGAACTCCTGGTGGAGTCGAAATTGGCTCTTGGAATTTGAGAGACTTGTATTGTGCTTGAAATTAACTCTTATGGACGGTACTTGTACTGGAATTGTGCACCACCGGCTGATCACCGGTTGGGAATACTCCAATAACTGGAGGAATACTCCAATAACTGGAGGAATGCTCCAATAACTGGAGGAATACTTCAATAACTGAAGGAAACTTCCAATAACTGGAAGGAACTCCTGATAAACACAGGAGGAATGTACACTCTGGGTGGAAACCTTAGAGGAAGGAGATGTGCCGGCCTCAAGTGAGGTTAAACGGCCTTCTCCAAACACGCGTGTTGCGCGGGAATAAGAGAGGTTAGGTGCCCTGTGGAGAGTGGTAACTATATGTGCTTTGTATTCTTCTAGGAACAATCATGGAGGATGAAAATCGCTTCCGTGTTCCGCTGTTTGATGGCAGGAATTACGATGATTGGAAGTTCCGCATGGAAGTGTTCCTCCGCAAGGAGGATGTGCTGGAACTGGCCGAGACCGGTTTGGTGTCGCTCCAGGCGCCACTGGAGGACCATGAGGACGACTCGGACAGAGTTAGGCGGCGGAAGGCAGAGGCTCGGGAGGACGCCAGGAAGCGCGACCTAAAGTGCCTAAACTTTATTGTCAGCAGGGTCGCGGATTGTCAGCTTGAGTGTCTGAAAGGCACCAAAACCGCGAAGGAGGCATGGGATGCCTTGAAGTCAAACTTCGAGAGGTCGACATGCCTCAGCAGAGCGGCCATCATGAAAAAGTACATGAGCCTGAAGTACAGACCGGCCTCCTCAACATTCCGGGAGTACTGCACGGAGTTTGACAAGACGCTCCGAGAGCTCCGGCAGACTGGGGCTGTGAAGGACGAAATGGACACAGTGCTGGAGTTCATTTTCAGCATGCCGCCGGAGTACGAGAGTATTGTGTCCGCCATACGGATCGTGGAGGCGTCGAGGCTGACTCTCTCGTTTGCCCGTCTGAGGATCGAGGAGTATGAGCAGAGTCGACCGGTGCAGAAGCGTGCCCCGAAAGCTGAGTCGGCTTTCTCTGCCAAGGGCCATCGGACCCAACCGTACTCTTGCCACAGGTGTGGTGGTCTCGGGCATATGCGGAAGGACTGCGAGACTCGTGAAGAGAACATCCCCCAGGTCAGAGAGGCGGCTGCCCGTGCCCGTGCCCGTGGCCAATTTCAAAATTGGCGCTCCAGCCGGGGTGGCGGGCAGGCACATCGAGGCGGCTACGCGGAGAGGGCGCAGCCAACGGCAGCTCCCCCCTCCAGAGGCGCTCCATCCGGCCGTGGACGGGGACTCAGAGGCTTCGGTCGAGGTGGCCGTGGCGGTGGACATCAAAACAACAGCCGGGCCATGAACGCAGCAGAAGCTCCAGCAGACGACAACAATGGCGGAGTGATAGACAAGAGCTTCAGCTTCATGTGGAAGGAGGATGACGAGGTAGTTGTGGTAGAATCTGATTTCGAAAAACTAACTGCTGATGTTTTAGCTCTACGAGTCGACGAGAAACTTACTGAAGTCAGGTTTATTTTGGACTCTGGTGCGTCGAGACATCTGGTCAGACCTGATGTGCCGGTCTCTAACCTAGTGAGGCTGGAAAAACCAGTGGTGATCCAAGTAGCAAAGTCTGGAGTGGCTCTAAAAGGCTGGTCCAAAGGAACTCTGTATGGTTGGGTGAAAGTCCATGGAGTGGACCAAAGACTTGACATGGAAGTCCTTGTGGTAGATTGTCTTTCACATAATTTGTTATCTATTTCTAAATTAGACGATAAGGGTTATATGATTGCATTCTGGAATAGCCAGTGCAATATCTATGATAACGGGTCCTTAGTTGCTACAGGAAAAAGGGAAACTAACCTGTATGAATTCAATGTTTTAACGTCAACAGACTGTGGTGAGTTGTCGCTTCTGACTGAAGAGGAACGACTTTGGCACAAACGTTTTGGTCACCCAGGAAATGACAATTTGAAGAAAGTGTCTCAGATGGTGGAAGGTATGGTGAGACTAAAGTGTGAAGGTCGTGAATTCTGTGATATTTGTGTACAGGGAAAACAGGTTAAATCCCCCTTTCCAGGTTCTAGGCCGAGGACCACCAGAGTACTGGAGAGAATCCATAGTGATCTATGTGGTCCTATCCGTCCCATTGCTTACAACGGCTTCAAATATGTTATGACCCTAATTGATGATTTTTCCCATTTTATAGTGGTGTTTCTACTAAAAAGCAGAAGCGAGGTGTTTAGATGCTTAGAGTCTTTCATTGCCAGAGTGAATGCAAAGTTTGGTCATGGTATTAGTGTATTTCGGTGTGATAATGGAAGCGAATATGTAAATAATGAAGTCCAGGAGTTGTTCAGAGTAAAGGGCATTAAAATGGAGCTTAATATTCCATACACACCTGAAAATAATGGAGTTGCAGAAAGACTGAATTTCACAATCCTAAATAAAGCTAGATGCATGTTATTTGGTAGCAATCTCAGGAAGAGTTTCTGGCCCGAAGCTGTACTAACTGCTGTCTATCTGTTAAACAGGTCACCAACTCGGGCTATTAACCAGGAGGTCACTCCATTCCAACTGTGGTCCGGGGAAAAGCCTAAAGTCTCCCACCTAAAAGTGTTTGGGTGCGTGGGCTATGTGAAAACACCAAAGGAACTCCTGAACGGAAAATTTGATTACAGAAATAAGAAATGTGTTATGTTGGGTTATTGCGACAATGGATATAAGGTGTGGTGTATTCCTGACAGGAAAGTTATGTTTGCAAGAAATGTTGTGTTCGATGAAAGTAGAAATAAGTTTGATGATGAAGAAGATTGGATATATGGTTCAGAGAACGAACCAGACTTACAGGTTGGAGAGGAAGATGTTGCTGATGAGGAAGATGTTGCTGATGAGGAAGATATTGCTGATGAGGAGCCAGTGCCAGGAGGGGGTGACGAGGCTGTCCCTCAGGAGGGGCCAGCAATTCCTGATTTCCAGGTTGAGGAGTTCGACGAGGAGCACCCTCAAGGAGTAAGGAGAGGTGCAAGGGTGCGAGTCCGTCCACAGCATCTCGAAGATTATGTTACTATGGCCTTGATTGCTGAATTTGTTGACAAATGTGAATGTGAACTTATTGTACCTCCCCAGGAAGGAAACTTGTGTCTTACCGATCAGGAGATTGCCTTGTCCGCATTAAGCTGTTGTAGTAATGCCCCTGATTCCTACAGGTCAATTGAGGGAAGGGAGGATGCTCATATATGGAGGGAGGCTGTGTCGGAGGAATTGACATCCCTGGTTGACAGCAATACGTGGGATCTGGTCGACAGGCCTGATGGAAAAACTCCACTTAACTGCATGTGGGTCTTTGCAGCAAAGGAGAATGGAGAAGGGGAGATGGTGAGGGCCAAGGCCAGGCTGGTAGTTAAAGGGTGTGGTCAAAAGCCTGGAGTCGATTTTCATGAGATCTACGCTCCTGTCGCCAAACTAATTACTGTAAGGATATTTCTTAGCTTAACTAATCAACAAAATATGACAGTGTTCCAGCTTGATGTCAAAAACGCGTTCCTGAATGGGGACCTCAAGGAGGAAATCTATATGTGGCCCCCTGAAGGTTTAGTTCTCAAAGATTACAGTAAGGTATGTAGACTAAACAAGACACTCTACGGCTTAAAGCAGGCGCCCATGGAGTGGAACAAGAAGTTTGATAGCACGGTTAAGTCCCTCGGTTTAGTCAATGTCATAGTGATCAGTGTCTCTATGTGTATAAAAATAATGGTGAGTGTATGTATCTTCTGTTGTATGTTGATGATTTCCTGTTGGCAGGTGTTAATGTAGATTTATTGTCCAAAGTTAAATCCAAGCTAATGTATATGTTTCAAATGAGAGATTTAGGTGAAGTGTCATATTTTCTAGGAATTAAAATAAGTCGAGTTAATGGGGGCCTGTTCCTGAGTCAGGAAGCCTACATTAATAAAATGTTGTCAAAGTTCAGAATGGAAAATTGTGCTACTATCAATACTCCACTTGAGATTAAACCCTCTAGGGTTTCTAATGGTGAATCTGTACTTGGTGTTAAACCTTACAAGGAGTTAATAGGAAGCTTGATGTATGCTTGTATGGCTACTCGCCCAGATATTTGTGCGGCTGTTAATCATTTTAGTCAGTTCCAGACCAACCCTACCACAGATCATTGGAAGGGATTAAAACGAATTCTTCGGTATCTCAAAGGCACCTCTAAATGGGGACTGTGGTTCAAATCTAACTCTCTCAACCCTCTGACTCTGCATGTAGATGCAGATTTTGCCAACGAACCAGGACGAAAATCAGTCTCTGGGATTGTGGTAGAAATGTACGGTGACTGTGTTGCTTGGGCAACCAGAAAACAAATATCTGTTGCTCTGTCTTCTACTGAGGCAGAGTATGTGGCTTTGTCTACTGGTGTGAGAGAGCTATTGTGGTTAAGACAACTTCTAAATGAGTTAGGAGTAAGGGGTTTGGACAAACCCATTCCTGTCTTTGAAGATAACCAGGCGGCCATTCATGCGCTCAAAACGTGGGACATGAAGCGCCTTAAACATGTAGATATCAAATACAACTTTGTTAAGGACTTGTACCATAAAAATGTTATATCTGTCTTCTATCAACCTACGGGTGAACAAGTTGCGGATATTATGACAAAAGGGTTGTCAATCGATGTTTTCTCCAAGCATAGAAAAGGACTTGGTATGTGCTCGATTGAGGAGGGGTGTTGAGAAATGAGCAATCTCGCCCTGGTGTGATCTCCGCCTTGTATCACTTGGAATCTCTGCCTGGCAGTGCAGGTGCCTGTCCAGTGTCTTTCGTCCGTTTCCGGGGGCTCTCTGTGTGTGTACCTTGTGTGAGAAGGACGTATTAAATCTTGATCCTAAAGTTCATCGTGTTTCATCTGTTATTCTAAATCCCCAAACCTGATATCACAACATTTAATATAAGTATTCCCAACATACCCTTCAGCAGAGCCATCAAAGTTTCCTTGTCATCACTTACAAGAGACTTTAACAATTTTCCGAAACTGCACAAGAGGCATTCCGCTCTCGTGCATTCTTCAATGTGCCTATTTAATAAATTGGGAATGTCAGAAATATTCATGAGAACCTGAAAAAGACAAGAATATTCACTGAATAAATCAATGAATGCAAAATAAATAACAAGAAAACAAGATCGCAATGCATGAACAACGTACCTGCAGCGAGACGCTCAGTTGGCTTAAGCCATTACCACCCAGACTGGGGATGCCCTTGGGTTCCATTATTTTATTCAAGCAACTGCAAAGAAATGAAGTAAAATGAGTGGTGTAAAAGCACAGGAGACTGGAGTGTTGTGGGTCTAGGTATCGGAGCAGGTGTCATCGAAGGGTATTGACATAATTTCAATCTCAATGAGAAATACAGACAAGTGACACTTTCTGACAGTTTCTAATAACATTTAAAACCAACAAAAGTAATTTCTTTGGCTTGTCACTTCATAAAACATTGATTTCAGACGTAAACAAAGGGCGACACGGCCGGTTGGTGAGGTTATGTTGTTCACTTTTTGCCATATTCGTCTTATTGCACAGAAATATTGTCAGAAATACACAAGGACCACTATATTTCGTCTTAGAAATAAATAATATGTGTACATACCTTAGTCAGCGGATCACAATACGATATTTAACGTTATGCGGATAGTATACGCGCCAAACGCCTTCCGAAAGTCCCCAAAGATGGCGCTCGCGACGCGACCCGGCTTCCCCCACTCCTATCCACCATATTCCGCCCGATTTCCGGTTTTGTGCTTCTTCTTGTTCTTCACTCGCGAGGACTAGAATAGACTATTTAAAGTCGTGGCTGAGGGAAGCATCGTTTTGTTAGCCAAGCGGTAAATTTCACATTTCGACTTGGAATTTCATGTGCCACTGGCTCTACAAATTCACTGTCGCGGTTTGGAAAGTGACCTTTCCATAGCCAGTGGCGCTTTAAACACACTTTCGTGTCTGGCTAAGAAAATTCAAGAAGCCATTGGCTACATAAATTTAAAGATATTTTTTACAGTGTGTTTTTAGCAGATGATACCTTTAGTACTTTAAAACGTACCTAGAACAATATAAAACACTTAAAGGTGTCAGCTAGCTTTTACTCGAGAGTCCAGAAACCAAGGCTGTATCCTAACAATAATGGGGGCTGGCTGCCCGGGCGGGCTGGTGAGTGAATGAGTGAGGCACAGCCTGCGCGACGCATCGACAACTCCTCCTCCGGGTACAGCGCGAGCGGCACCGGCCAACAATGCCCTCCCCCCTCTCACACAGTCCCTCCCTGGGTACAGCGCACAGAACAGCAACAATGCCTCACGGCTCGGCACGGCTCAGCGCGCTCGAGGCACAGCGCGGCGGTGCAAACCACAGCTCGGCTCGCACCAACACTGTCCAGCTCGCTTAGGTCTATGTATTTTATTGGGCTATCTATTTCATTTCATACACAATTATGAATAATCGCGAAATACTACCTAGAAGAAAACCAAATGAGTATCATCTGCTTTCATTAACGTTCGTTGAATGATATTTTTTTTAAACGAACTCCGTCCACCCCCTTTTCTCGAAAACCAATGTTCCAAAAGTGCCCCGATTTCTTCAAAAGTTAGGTTTTAGTGGCCCCTTTGATAAGCGCTTGGTCGGAAGAATCGTATCTCAGCCTAGCGACCAGTGCGTGGCGAGATACAGTGATTGTAAACGGTACAAGAAATGAACTCCGTCCACCCCTTTTCAAACTGCATATTTCAGCATAAAAATCAGGTTGTCCCGTAACAAGATTGATCAGAATGAATTGTGTCGTCACTTATATGCACTTAAAAGGCACCACAGACCTGCATTTAAATCGTTTTTTTAGGGGAAATGGCGAACATAACCTCAAATTGCCGTACGGCGCATGGCACCCGTACACCTATGGTTGCCGGTTTGGCCGGCGCTTCTCTCTGTTCTGTTCAGCGCTGTGCTGTGCACTTAGCTGGGGATCATTTTACTTTCTTCCACTTCTGTTTTGACCACCCTTTGGCATAATCTACGACCGTTACCTAGCCTTAGAACTTGAAAAAAAAAACAGCAATTTGAAATTTGATTATGAACTATAAATTTCTCCCAATCTTTTTTGGGCTGTCATTTCTAAACCCGTGGGCCGATTTCGCGGAGGCTTCGTATTTTAACCCTTCTAGTAGTCCCATATCGCCTCCGTGCAAAAATAATTTTTTTCGGGAACCTTTTGTTTCAAAAGTATCCTCGGCCTAAAATGACAACCTACGCTGATAATCACCCGGATGACAGTCCGAGCGTGGACGAGCTACAAGTTGACTTTCGTTTTCTCCCCTATGAAAAGCGAGAGAATTTAGTGAAACTATGACGGAAACTGCGCTTGACGGAACTTTCAATCAGATGTTCACTGTAAATCCAAATCAATACTTTTAGTACCTTAACTAAATAACAAAATAATCGCACTCCAGGATGCGATAAATCGTGGGAATCGCAAGCTCGGTTTTATCGCAAAAATTTGTAGTAAAAGTATCGCAAAATGAATGACAGTGTATTGCCAAATTTTGGCGATACTTCTGTGTATCGCCGTTCTGAAGACATTACTTTTCCGTAAGGCCGTTTATTGGCGATACTCAATTGTATCGCCAGAAAATGTACTTTAGTATCGCCTTTGCATTTGCAGTGTTTCCAGCTGACTAACGCCTATCGCCTCAGAAATGAGCCATACGTTTGGTACAGTAGTTCAACTCAACGTCTAGACACGTCTTTTCACGCATAGGATGACTTTTAAAACCTAATAGGTAACGTGCGAGGGGGAGGGGGACATTAAGAAATTGTTACACTTGTTACGACCCACCGATCTCACGCACAACTTTACTGCAAGAAATAGTGTGAATAGTACAACAAAAGTACAACTTAAACTGTACAATAAAAGTACAACAGGGATTGTATAAAATACAACGAGAGTTGCACAAACCACAACGAGGCCTAGACTGCCCAGCACTCGTCATGCCGGCTCCATTGTACTTTGTACAACAATTGCTGTACTTTGAAAGTACAATAAATTCCCGATAAAAAATTTGCCAGTGATTTAAGTACTATTGTTGTGGTATTTTCTTGCAGTGTTCTTCCCTCACACTCACTGCACTCCCCTTACTTTTACGCCACAGGGATTCGTTTATTGGGTGATAAGACCATGCTGATTCTGAATGCGGTGGTGGTTTTGAGCAGGGACCACTCCTTGTAGTTTTATTTTTTTCGTAGGTATTTGATGAAAATCGGAGTACGGTGGACATTTTTTAAGAGTCCTGAAAGCCGGGTTAGCAAACTTAACAAACAAGATGTTCCAATGCCGGGACACCGTGCAATGCGTTAGCATTGACACTTTTGAATTTTCCGGCGTTTTGATTTCTTTGTATCGCTGAATTTAAATTTTGACGGGTGCAAGGTGGGACACCTCCGTGAAGCTGGCAGAACCCAATATTGCACAATTGATCAGACATGTCTCAAAAAATTGAGCACGAATTGAGCAATCGATTGCACTATACCGTTTTATTTGTGCATGCTCGGAACAGTACTTACAGCGTCTTGCTATTGGGTTCTGCTGGGTTCACGCCGGCAGCGCCCAATCGAGCTACAGCAACGGGACAGGTGCCAAAAAATTGAGCACGAATTGAGCAACCAATTGCACTATACCGTTTTAATTGTGCGTTGAAACGAAGGTCATAATCCACCACAATCGTTTTCCCAGGTAACACTTACCAGCAGCGCCCAATCGTGTTACAGCAACGAGACAGGTGCCAAAAAATTGAGCACGAATTGAGCAACCGATTGCACTATACCGTTTTAATTGTGCGTTGAAACGAAGGTCATAATCCACCACAATCGTTCTCCCAGGTAACACTTACCAGCAGCGCCCAATCGTGCCACAGCAACGAGACAGGTGCCAAAAAATTGAGCACGAATTGAGCAACCGATTGCACTATACCGTTTTAATTGTGCGTTGAAACGAAGGTCGATTGGGCACTGCTGATAAGTGTTACCTGGGAAAACAATTGTGGTAGATTATGACCTTCGTTTCAACGCACAATTAAAACGGTATAGTGCAATCGGTTGCTCAATTCGTGCTCAATTTTTTGGCACCTGTCTCGTTGCTGTAGCACGATTGGGCGCTGCTGGTAAGTGTTACCTGGGAAAACGATTGTGGTGGATTATGACCTTCGTTTCAACGCACAATTAAAACGGTATAGTGCAATCGGTTGCTCAATTCGTGCTCAATTTTTTGGCACCTGTCTCGTTGCTGTAGCACGATTGGGCGCTGCAGGTGTTACCTGGGAAAACGATTGTGGTGGATTATGACCTTCGTTTCAACGCACAATTAAAACGGTATAGTGCAATTGGTTGCTCAATTCGTGCTCAATTTTTTGGCACCTGTCCCGTTGCTGTAGCTCGATTGGGCGCTGCTGGCGTGAACCCAGCAGAACCCAATAGCAAGACGCTGTAAGTACTGTTCCGAGCATGCACAAATAAATCGGTATAGTGCAATCGATTGCTCAATTCGTGCTCAATTTTTTGAGACATGTCCGATCAATTGTGCAATATTGGGTTCTGCCAGCTTCACGGAGGTCGATGACCTCATGCCGTTGCCATGGAGATTGTTATTTTATGTTTCAGCGTTTTGCTCAGAACCCAGCCTCTACACCAAAAACATTAGAGGTTCTCGGGAACCCCTCAAAAAAAATCTAAACAACAAATAATCATATAGCAATAAGACTATCAGTTGAGTAGGAAAAATTCGGAAGTTTTGTCTTGTAAACAGGGGAGGTGCACGGTACGCCAGACAGTGGTTTGTCGTAACAGGCTTTGCGATGCTGCGCCGGTCCGACAATCCACGCCTGGCGTTTACAACTGCCTGCGGCGCAGGCCTGCGTTCGGCAAGCTCTTTGGCCACGCATCGGTACTCAAAGGGACATGATCGCAAGTCGAAACAGAATTCGGTTTTTGCATCAGAGCTCCCTTGCAAGTGCGGAGTGACGGGTTCGCTGGTCACACTGCATGACACCTTTGAGAAGGCACACTTGGAATTCCGGTTAAATTCTGTACTTTTGGGATTCAAACCTAGCTCGAAGGTCATAACCGATTCCATTTTCGTCATCAGCACCAGCTTGAACATATGAAATGATGTAAACCTTGGCATGAGAACAAATGTCATTAGAAAGTTGACTTTTCCTGCCGTTTTTAAAGTGTTTTTTGGCAGTTATGAACAAACGGATTGAGATAGAAAGCTGAAATTTGGGGAGTGGTGAGCCACGGGCACACCTAATAAGCTTTCAAAATCTCTGTAAGATCGGCTGAGCCGTTCGGGAGGAGTAATGCACCCACACACGCGCGCAGACAGAAAAAGTTTTTTAACCCCACTAAAGTAACGGGCTACGCCATCGATCAGCCAATAAATTGAGACAAGGTAGGTGTCTCATAATTGGTGAATTTTCAGTGCAGGTTGTACTTCTCCTTTAAAGTTGCTTGGCAAAACTTGATTCTTCATCACTCTCAACTTCTACAGAAAAAATTGTTGAAGAGCTCTCTTTGCTGCGGCCGCCATCCTTATCTGTTTCTTACTCTTCTACTTCTCCCTTTAAGTGACAAAGCCTTCGCCATACTTCTACGAGGTA